CCTGTGGAGCTCTGCTGTCCTGAGTGTGAAGCTTTGGGGTGATGAGTTGGGGAATAACTGAGTTGTGGTGCACCTTGYTGCCCCCACAGCTCCTCCCAGGACCTCATCACCTGGTGGAAGTGACTGAGAGGTATCACAGCACTGCTGGGTGGGTCTGTGCATGACCCAGGGCTATGGGGAGGAAGAGGTCAGTGCAGTATTTGAAGATTTTTATCCCAGTTATGGGCTTGGTGCTCTCACAAGGCAACAGAATCAGACCAGTCCTGGCAGCACATGTGGATYTCGATCCCAAGAGCAGCAAAGGAAGACTTTGTCTCCTCTTAGGGCTCATGGGCATGTTCTGATTGCTGTTTTCCTCTTGCAATTAGTGAAGGAGGTTGTGAGCAGRCTGTTGAGCCCCCCAAGCCCACTCACAGCACAGGGACATGGAACTCAGAGCTGGGAAGAGAAACACGGGGCAGGCATAACTGAGTGCATTTAAAGCTAACATATTTGTCTAAGAGCTTTCTAAAAAACCTTCAGCCTGTTGGGGCTGTCCCTTTTTGAGCTTGTACTGGAGTTCTAAATCTGACTGTTGGGACTACAGCAGGCACTCAGCATCCTCGCTGCTGGCAGATACAGCCCCAGCATCTCCTCTRTACTGCATGAAAGAGGCACAGGGAGGAGGGAGCAGGGACAGGAGGAAATGGCCTTTGCTGTGCAGTTGGTTCAAAGCCAGCCCTGCCCAGCACCTGCTGCAGCCTCTCCTSTCCCCAGCCCTCTCTGGAGCCTGGGGCTGCTGCCATGGGGCTGTTTGGTGCATCCCACCATAGCCAGGACAGGGAACAGGAGCTGAACAAAGCTTTGGGACCACAAAGCAGCTCCTGATTTATGAGCAGACACTCCCCCCAGGCCTCAGTGGCACTTGGCTCTCAGCAGCAGYGAGAGGTCTGCCATGGCAGCAACAGGTGACGGGAAGAAGTGCCAGTCAGGAGCGTGTGTGGAGGGGAGCCACAGAGCAGATGGCAGCAGGGAAATAAATTTGGAGCTGCCACTAGAATAGTCCTGGAAACAGTCCAGCCTGTGGATGGAGGCAGATGGGGAAAAACTTGGTTTATATCTCTTCCTGGTTTTGCTTTTTTTCAGGTGCCTTTATTTCCAGCTCTGTTATCTCTTGACCATTCCTTCCTGTCTGTTACTACACCMTCATCACATTTTTTTTTGTCTTTTCTTATCCTGCCTTCTTTTCCGCCTTTTGTTTCTACTCACACTATATCTGAACTCGTGAAGGTTGCCTACCCTGTGTCTATTTCCTTACAAATCTGTTCCCTGTTCCTCTATCCCTACCTCCACAACTGATCCAAAAATCCTCCCCTGGTGCTGAAAGGTTCAGGACACTGCTCTGACCCAGCTGAGAGCTGGAGTTCAGCATGGAAGAATTGTGCCTTTGCCACGAGTTGCCCATTTCCCTCTCTCTGTCCCCTCTGTCCCTCTGGCTTGTTCCAGGGGCTCACCTGGTGCCTGGTGCTCATTCCTCTGTCACTGCAGTGATGTCCTTGCTGGTTTGGCTCTGGGTGTGGGGACACCCTGGCTGTCTCTGCTTTGCGTTCCTCTGAGTGCCTGTGGGATGTTTCAGGGGTATGGAGGCACATCTTTGTACACAGAGCTGGATTTGAGACTTCTGGAGCATTTTTTTGGGGTACCTCAAAGAGCAACTGTCCATTTTTGAAAGGGCTGGGTGGAAAACCCCCATTGTGGTTCAGGTGTGGTTGTGTCAGGCAGGGTCCCTGGCTGGRGGGAGCGGGGGCCATCCCTTGGCAGCCCTCTCCAGGTGATCTGCAAACTGTTCTGCCTTCTGCCAGTGTTGGGGGCTGGAAACAGGCTGGGTACTGAGTGCTTGGAGAGCTGAATCAGCCCCCAGGGCCAGCCCTGCTGCCAAACCTGACCAGCATTTCCATGGCACTGGGGGCTGCTGCCTCCTCTGTCTTGCTGACAGGTCAGTCACAAATTTAAAATGAGCTTTTCCTTGGAGCGAGCTGTGTCTGTGTCCTCTCCCCTCCCAAACCCAACTCCCTTATTGGTTGTCTTCCTGCAAACTCTGCCCTTATATTAAAACAAACAAAMAAAAAGTTTWAAAAAATTRTTTAATCTGCCTCAGAAGAGCCAAGGAAGTTTATAAACTAGGTCTGTTGGGCAGGATTGCTCTGCTGTGGGAGGATGCATGCACGCAACCTCAGAGATTTAAAATAAAATTTTAAAAAATAGMTATTCCCTCAGGACAGGAAAGGCAGGGAGCAATGTGGGGCTCATTTTCTGTGGAGCCTGGTGAATGGCAGTGTTCTCCTCTGTGCAGGTGCACTGTGCTTTGCCAGCAGCGTTGCCTTAAGAGGTGCACAGGTGCTGTGCTGCTGCTATTTACTGCTGCTTTCTTTGAAGATGGTGACTAACAGTTCATCAATGCCTGCCTTAGAACAGCTCTCTTTAGGAGTTTCTGCCTGTTGAGTGACAGCAGGATGTGTGAGCAAGCTCAGAGAGCCAGGCCTTTTCTGGCAGGATTCTCAGGGCAAGAAAATCCTCTGGAAATCACACTGTGAATCATTTGTTTATCCGAGCGGATGACACCATGTCCCAGCCATGCTGCCCTGCACTCAGACCCCTTGGGTGGGATCAGTGTGTCCGGGGCAGCTCCCTGGAAAACCTACAGGACAGGTTTAATGTTAAAAACATGACATCCCAAGGTTGCTATGCCCCGCTGTGCACTCACTGGTGTATTTGTAGCACTCTTCCTCCGTGACCTGTGGCTGCCTGGTGCACAGAGGGGGCTGAGGCAGGGCTGGCACAGCTCCATTCTGGGGCTCCCTCTCTTTCCTGAGGGTTTCTGCTCCCTGACACGTTTCCTTGGCACTTGTTTTACACCTGCACCTCTGCTGTGTTTGTGGGCTCGTGTGGATGAAGAGGCACTTGGGAAGGAGATGGGAATTGTCCTGGGTTATCTGCTAAAACCAGCCAAGAAACCAAGAGCACCAGGAAGGTTATTCCCCWACCTATTCCTGCTGTGCTGGACCAGGAGGCCACAAACTCAAATATAAAGGTTTTTTCATCACTGGGGGATCAGCAGAGGCAAACAGAGTGAGCTGTGCCAGGGAGCTCCAGGGGCATCAGCAGCTCTGGCTCTTCCTCCTGTGTCTTGGCCAAGCTTTCTCCCTCCTGCTCCCACCAGCCCAAGCCTGTTGTGGTGCTGTGAACACACGTGTGCTTGTGTACATGGAATGTTATGATGTCCAAGTGTCCATCCCTGCTCTCCACACCCCTCTGCAGCTGCCAGACTGTGGGTGGGGCGTGGCAGCCGCTGGCACCGCGCAGAGACGCTGCTCCATCGGCCAGGATGCTCCCAGATGGAAATATCAGGGCAGGAAATATCCGACTCTGGGGGAAGTAGGAAATCACTGCTGGGTGGGAGGGTGCCAGAGCTTTGTGTAGGGAACTAGAAAGGAATGAGAATGGTTAATGGTGCAAACTCTCCRTGCATTGCCAAAAATGAACTCATGTCTGTAAATACTACACTGCGTGCGGTGAGATTAGCACAGGAAAATACCAGTTGTTAGGGTTCCTGCTGCCATCTGAATTATGCMAACAATTTGCTGGAGTTTGTAGATGAGCTGGGGCACAATAACATTRGGTTTTTCCCCGCCAGAGTGTCTCGGTGCATCAGTATTTTAGCACGTTTCCCAGCCTCAGTCTGCTACACTCCTTTGGAATGGCACGCTGTCAGGAGTGGCCTTGGTGGAAATGTTGGGATGCTGSTGAGATGCTGGTGCATGTGCTACCTGGGCACCTGAGATGGCTGTGAAGGCTCAGGGGCTCACCAARCCCAGTGCTGAGGCTGGGACTGTGATTTGTGTGTGGCTGAGGAGCTCTTGGGACCTCTGGAGCAGGAAGCAGAGATGCTCCCGGCTCTTCAGAGGCCAGGCACCACCACAATGGGCTCCCTGGAAGGAATGATAAACATTGGCTCTTCGCAGTGGCTGTCAGGGAGGTTCAGTGACTTTCCCACGGCTGTGCAGTGTGTCAGTGAGGAGCAGGATTAGCAGCTGGGCGTCCCTGGCCCCCAGCCCTGAGCGTTGCATAACCCGCAGTGAGTGCGGGGCTGGGGAGCTGCTGCAGCCTGGGGTTCTCATGGGAGTGAGCCCCGAGTTCCCTCCCCTCCTGCTGTGACTTGGGTGGAAACAGGTCAGCTGGAGCCACAGATTTGGGATCTCTCTGAGAGCTTTGTGGACTTGTGAGTAAGGAGCAGAGAGGCAAGAGCCTGTGCCCTCTAAAGCCACCTTAGATGCTGGAGAAGCTCCACTTGATGAAACCCATCTTTCTAAGTGCTGCTCTTTAGGGTCTCGCTCCCTTTGGACAGTTAATGTTGGGAGCTTCCTTTGGGAAAAAGCTGGGGGAGGACCAGGTGTTGCAGTTTTAGTGGCACTAAAACATCAGCACRACCTCCATGTCGAGAGCAAACCCTACCCATCCATGAATATATCTGCTGGTGCTTCTGTGGGCTGTCAGGGGTACCCCAGGGGTACAACCATGTCTTTTCTGGGCCCTACAACCACAAGGCAGCCCCTTGCTGGCTCCTGGGGCTGCAGACCCTCGGCCCCTGTAGGGCTGTGATCCACCTCTTCCCATCAGCCATGGCACAGCAGCATTAACGGTGGGGCTGTAACTCAGCTCAGGCCTGCTACGAGACACAATCTCACTCTAAAGCCAAGGCCAAATAGTACCAGCATGGGGTCAAGTTCATGAGTTCATTCTGCCTTTGGGACTAATTTGGGTGCTGAGTAGCTGGGCAGGTATTTGACTGTTGCCTGCAGAGACCTAGAGGTCTCAGGATCCTATTCTTCTCCCTCGGATCACCTAAAATGGTAAGAATTTCCAAGGGGGATTAAGGTTGTGATCTCTGGGGAGGGGAGTGGACATCTGGTAGGAGTCCTGTCCATATTAATAGCCTCCCTTTAAATGTATGTTATCAAATGGGGCAGCTCCTTATCAGCCTGGAGGCTGTGAACTCCGTTACCTGAGAGGCTGCTGCTGACTTTGGGCTGCTGACCATGGCTTTCCACAGGCACACAGGTAAAGTGGATGTGCTGCCTGCTAAATGGGGAGGAAGGTTTTGCTGACAGGCTCCTGTGCCAGAGAAACAACTCTTTGAATGCRGTCAAACCTCAGTCAAATCTGCAGCTGTAACTCCTGATGGAAAATGGGCTGGTAACCAGCATGGGGGACTGGTGCTGGAGCAGGGCGGTGCTGGTGGCCTCATTTATTTTGTAAACTGCATTGGGTGGTAAATGTTTTTGTGTCTGCTAATGTGGGAATGCTTGGGCTCAGCTGATATTTGGTATTTGATATTTCACTTGGTGAAAATGGGGGACAATCCTTGTGGCAAGTTTATGCAGTGAGCAGGGAACCCCAGAGCAGAGGGGACACCAGTGAGTAAACCCAGAGGGTTGGCTCTGCTCTGGTGRGAAGTTTGTGGCTACTCCCTCTTCTCTGTCTTTTAGCTCAGATTGCCTGACCCCCACCAGTGATAGGAAAATGTTAWTTTTTCCATTAACACTGACAGAAATMTTGAGATCATATTTCACATGTCTCCATGACATGCAGATGTGTGGTGTCTTCCCATCCTAATTCCTCTAGCCCTGCATCTGAAGGCAGTCAGAAGCTGTTTGGGATTTTTAGAAGCCTATCTGACTCTTAGAAGCTGTTTCTGTGCATGTCCAGGGTGCACTCACAGCCCTACCCCACAGCACGGGGACAGTGCCATCTCTCTGGGTGACACCCAGCCCAGAGGGTGGCTGTGCCTGGTATAGGGGTCGGTTTGGGGCACAGCTCCTGTGGCATCAGAGCTGCTGTGCAGCAGGAGCCAGGGGTGCTCGYGAGACTTGGGAGACTTTGAGGAGATTCATGAGAATCTCCTCAAAATTGGGGAGAAAAGGCTCATTTTGCTGCTCAGCTTCCTGCTCAGCTTCCCAGGCCAAGCAAACACGGGGCTGCTTGCACAGCTYGTAACTGCTTAAGATTTGCTTGTGGGATGCACATACACTTTATGCAGGGCACCATTCTGAGTAAAATCTGATTTCTGTGGTATCATTTGACATAAGAAGTTTATTTTTTAACTTCAGCCTACGAGAGTGACCAATGCTGTAGCATCCTGCCATTATGCTCCCAGCTGTATCTCTGTTTTCTTTCTCATCTTCYTCAGGGGATGTCCCCTGGGGCAAGAACTCACAGACTTGATCTTGTGCTGTAATATAAAATGCTGAAGGGTGTTCTGAGCTGAGGTTGGAGTGCTGCTGCCAGAAAGTGTCAGCACGGTGTCAGATCCTGCAGACCACTGGGAACCCCAGGGCAGCTGTGGGGGTACCACAGTGCCTGCTCAGGGTGGAGCTGAATCCCTCCAGAGCAGGAGTAAATCTCGTATTTGCACCTGGGAGCATCCCAGTATGAGAAGGGCAGAGCAGTGCATAGCTGGGAACATGATAGGGGAGTCTTAAAGGACAAAACTTAATGCAGCCACAGAATTCGTTACTGGCTTTGTTTAGTTTTGAAAGGTTTGGACTTTGTTGCTTAATCTCTGCCTAAAGTGCTCATCCTTCCTCGGCAGTGGTGCCTCGTTAGCCTTCCCTGAGCTCTGCACTGGTGCCAAAGCAATCCCTTGGGGAAGGGTTTGCAGGGCTGGGGCAGCAGTTTTTAATAAATAGCATGTCCCTATTTCCCTGGGGAACTGTGGAGATTCAGTAATGACTGGGATGTGCTCAGACATGGTGGCAATAGGACCGTAGGGAATGGTTTTGGCAACTGCTTGAGGAGCTTGGAGCTGTTCTTGTTCTAAATAAAGAAGCTTCCATTTTATCAACAGACTGATTTTTAAATTATAGAGTATGAGACTCGCACGTGCCCCAGCCTGGCAATGGCAGAGMACAGCTCTGGTATTTTCAGCCTCCCAGCAAAAATGACCTGCAAGAGATTCTTTCCTTTCTTTTCTTGGGCTTTGCAAATGTTTGCTGCCCAGGGCATTGTGCCAGCGCAGTCCTGAGTGTCACTTTGCATTTGGGATTAACAGGACCCTTCTTTTAAGGGTTTCCCTGGTATTTATAGCAAACCATGCAGCATTGCATAGAGGAATGCTGAGAATAGTAACTCAGGTGACAGAGCAGGGCTGCCAGCACTGAGCTGGAACAGGCAGGTGTAGCCAGTGCCTGGCAAAGTGGGGCTGTGTACTCAGTCTGCTGACAAAAATAAAACTAATGGAGAGTCAAAAAGCAATCATTCTTTTTCTTCCATATGCAATTGTGTGTAGGGCAGAGGGTTAACAACTCCARCCTCATCTTCTCTCTTAAGTGGCAGAATAATCTGTGAAGTGTAAGTACAGTATCTCTGGTTGCTTTTAGAGCCCACACTTCAAGCTCTTCSTGGATAGTTTATCACATTTAAACACATTCCCCAGAGACATTAACACATATCCTGTGCTAAGTGCTTTGCTTATCAGCTGTGCTTCAGCTCCCTTTGCTGAACGCTTCGGTTCCATTTGTAGTGCAAAGCCCTGCGATGCTGCTTTGGGTGGATGGCTGAACTGGGGTGATGGGGATGGGTGGATGCAGCTGCTTTTGTGGGGTGGCACTTCTCAGGTCTGTACCCTTTCCACCCCAAAACTGGCCGAGCTGCAGGGTCCCTGGGTTAGCCCTGTGTCTGCTCAGTGTTGGTACCACTCGAGGTGTGTGGAAGCTGCTGGGGCTCAGGTTTCAGGTCTCTGAAGGATGGCAGGTGTGGCTGTCCAAGGGCTGAGGTGCTGTTTGTGAAAAGCTGGAGATGCTTTCAGGGGACGAGTGGTGAACTGGCACGTCTGTGCCAGGTAAAGGTTAGGGCTGTATTCCAGTGGGCCTTTGTGCCAAATACTCTGATACCTGAGAAGGCCACTGGCCTGGCCATCTGCCCTCCAGCTGTAGCCAAATCCATCAGGGAGCTGCATTTAGAGAACACCCTGCTGGGGCTGGTGGGACAGGGATACCTTGCTKAGAGGGGGATTAGTTTCTGTCCTGCTTTCTGAAATAGAAATCCTTTGACTTGTTCTGCCCCATGTTACTGAGAGGGTGACAAAGGGGGCATAGTGTGATGMCTCCTGGATTTTAAAACCTGTAAGGTAACAGTGTGAGTCCCACTATTCCTGAGCCCAGATGAGACAGAAGAAAAGCTCTGCTATGATGGCAAAATGTTAATTTGCAGGCAGACACCCACCCTGGCTATGCAGCCGGCTGTGCTGGGCTGTTCCTGGTGTGCTCAACTGGTCTGGTGAGGTTGGGCCTTGCAGCTGCTGGTAAATCTGGAATTTCTGGGGTGGGAAAATGTCTATAAGAATCTGTGTGAACAGACCCTCAGGCCACAACAACAGGGCAGCCAAGGGTGAACTCAGTGGGGTCCCACTGACCCTGCTTTGTTGTGAGGGCACAGCCAGGGGTGACACACCCTCTCTGCACCCCAAAACCCCCAGCACTGCTTTGATTGATAAAGGCACACTGTGCTGGGCTTGGAGCAGCACCGTTGGAACGAGCACTGCTGTCCCACTGAGCTCCCACAGGAAAAGGCTCCAGGGCAGCCCCCAAACTCCAGGGCTGGGTGGGGTGGTCTGAGGTGGGGGCAGCAGCAGTTTGTATGGCCTGACCATGCCCTGTCCCTTCCTTGCTCYGTGCTGACGCTGCTGCTCCATCAGGAAGAGAGGACATTTCCTCTTGGCATCCCTCTGCCAGACCACGGCCATCCGGTTGTTGGTGATGCAGAAAGTTCCAGGCTGTGTCCTGCGGTGGTGGCCGTACAGGGAAACAGCTCTGCAGTGCTGGGGCTGTGGGACAGGGATGGAGCTGCCTCTGTGGGACTTGCATGACCCTCATGCCCCATCCMTGGAATGTTCCAGGCCAGGSTGGAAGGGGCTTTGRGCAGCCTSATCYAGRGAATGGCACCCCAGCCCATGGCAAGGTTTCTTCAAACCCAAACCATCCTGACAGAGCCCTGTAGGAGGATTGGTGGCTTCTGCTGAGGAGGGTGTGTGGAGTGGAGGGAGCCATTAGCASGGGGCTGGGAGTGCAGGACAGGGTGGGTGTCTGGGGAGAAAGYGTGAGCCAAAGTGGAAAATCCTCTGGTCACGATCCCCCACACCCWCTGACAGCTCCCTGGCCATGGTGGAACATCAGACCTTGGCAGAGCCTCTCTGGCATGAACTGAAGAAGTATCTCTCCATGCATGGAGATATTTTCTTCTTTTTTTTCCCCTTGTGATTTTATATGTGAAAGCCTGGTGAGAAGAGGCAGCTGGAAGCTGCTCAACTATCCAGCACAAAAGGGCTTGGAGGGCTGCAGCTGGCTGTGGRTTCAGGCTGGAAACGTGGAAACAATTCTGCTCTGCTCATGTTTGTTGGTGATTTCGGCACACAAGGGATGCAGTGCCTCAGTCAGGACCTCACTGAGCCCTGCAGSGATGAACTGAGGGGCTCTCAGGGAGTGATGAGGTGTCATCACCCTTGCTCAGTGTAAATAAAGCAGTCTAGCATCTTTCCACTTACCAAGGGGCTGGGGAAAGGCTCTGCTCTCCTCGCCTGGAGCTGCTTTCTCTGCCAAGGAGCCCTCGAGCAGTGTGATAACACCACCCCATGCTCACTCCTGAGCCATCCTCCTCCCTCTGATCTGCACAGCTCCAAGAAGCTGGAGCAGTTTTCAGGGTCTCAGTGCTGTGCCCTCACCCGCTGTGCTCTCGCAGGGCCYGGCAGCTACACCGTGGGCACCATGTCGGAGCGCTTCGACTGCCACTACTGCCGCGACCCGCTGCAGGGCAAGAAGTACGTGCAGAAGGAGGGGCGGCACTGCTGCGTCAAGTGCTTCGAGAAATTCTGTGCCAACACCTGCACCGAGTGCAAGAAACCCATCGGGGCCGACTCCAAGGTCAGTGCTGGCACCTCGGAGGGGATGAGCAGAGGCAGATGATGATCACCCTCCCCTCTGGCTCTTTGACAGCAGCTCTTTGGGACTCCTCTGGCTGCCAGACACGTGCTCCTTGGGCAAAGGGTGGTGCTCAGGGATGCTCAGGGTGGGCTGCTTTGGCACAGGACATAATTTCAGGCTTTAGAATGAGCCACATRAACTGCTGCAAATGCTGAATTGCCCTGGAGACAGAACTGCAGGGAGCCAGCCTGCACAGGGCCTGCAAAACTCATCTTCTGGCCATATCACTCAGTTGTAATTTTTCTCAGTTGCTTACTGCTTCATGATAGAAATCAGAGTTCTTTCAAAATATATATTGAGAGCAGCTGGATGGCAAGATGGTTTTGTTGGGTTTTTTCCCTTATGTTAATTTTGTAAGAGTATCTCTATTGTTCAGACACCAGGCAGGACATGAAGAAACAAACTGCAGGACCTGCAAAGATCTGCTAGGCTGGTGGTTGAAACTGTTTTGATCTCCATGAAAAGTGGGAATTGGTTTGTTGCTAAAGTACAGAAATACGGTATTATTGAAGTCATTAGCATATACCTTCAGGGCCAGATAAACACTCACAAAAATAATAATKTACACCTGAACTAGAGGGAATGTAAGAACCCGAGAAGCAGAACTTGAAACCTCCAAGCTATTTGTTTGAAATATTGTCTGCTCTCCCTGGAAGTCCAAAGTGAATATCCAGGCTGATGAGACAGGAGCTTGGCTTTAGGGCTGCTYACTCCCTCCCTTTCTGCTCATTCCAGGAGCTGCATTTCAAGAACCGCTACTGGCACGACAACTGCTTCCGCTGCTTCAAGTGCTACACATCCCTGGTCAAYGAGCCCTTCATGCTGAGGGAGAACAACAAGGTTTGGTGCAGCAACTGCACCGCTGCCGAGGATGCACCCAGGTGTAAGGGCTGCTTCAAGCCCATTATTGCAGGTACTGTGCCACTGACAAAGGTCCAAGGGCCGTGTTCTGCTCCAGGGTATAACCAGGGTGGTTTATCAGGCTGTGGAGGCTGCAGTTAAGGTTTGGGCATCACAGTGGAAGGCTGAAGCACCTGAGAATAGTAAATTTTGACTGTTGCTCTCACCTGTCCATATTACTCAGGTATTGAAAGGCTGCTTTGCAGTTAACCCCTACATTGATAATAAACCCTAATGTCAGTCTTAAACCATTTCTACCAAAAGCCTTGCTCTGTAAATCAAGGCCCTCAAAAGCTCAGGCAGCTGGTCTGACAAATATTTTAAGAAAATCYAGCAGGCCCTGGCTAAAATCAGATACAGAAATTAGCAGCTCATCCCTTGTCTGCAGTCCAGTGGAATCCTGGGCATAGGTATGGGCAGGTTCTGCCCATAGATTTACACTGTGAGGGAGGGGTTTGCCACAGGCCTGAAATCCCACATCACAAGCTATTTCTGTCTGTTGTAGGAGACCAAAATGTTGAGTACAAGAAGATGGTCTGGCACAAGGACTGCTTCACCTGCAGTCAGTGCAAGCAAGTGATTGGATCTGGGAGCTTCTTCCCCAAGGGTGATGAATTCTACTGCGTCTCCTGCCACGAGCACAAGTTTGCCAAGACCTGTGCTAAGTGCAAGAACGTAAGTCCTTCCTCTGTGCAGAAGCAGCTGCCAGAAGCAGCTCTCATGTGCCTGTTGGGAGCTGGGAGGGTGATCCAGCAGGCAGACCATGCTGAARCTGTACCAATGCTGATGTTTCTTCTCTGAGATACTGGTGCCAGCAGCTGGTGCAATGATGGGAGAGCATTACAGGATCTGGGCAGGGTTTGTTGGGTTAGCTGATGGCAAAGCTGCAGAAACCAAGAAGGAACCAGTCTTACACATGCCTTGGGGATAGTTCAAGCCCTGTAGTGGTATTGAATATTCAATAAGTGAAACAGTAGCTGTTTTAAAACTTCTGCAACTGATTAGTGTGGAGCTGCAGTTACYACAGGTAAAATAAATTATGATGAAAGTGCCAGGCATGTGGGATTTCAGGTTAGAGGGACTCAAGTGCTCAGCACTATTTAATTTTAATGCAAACTTTGGAGAGGTCCCCTCCATGACCAAGCCTTTGTCACCTCTCTTATCCCCTGCTAATTCTAAAGCACACCTCTGCTCCTTCTCTCCCAGCCCATCACTTCTGGAGGCCTCACTTACCAGGAACAGCCTTGGCATTCCGAGTGTTTCATTTGCTCCAACTGCAAGAAGCCACTGGGTGGGAAGCGCTTCACAGCTGTGGAGGATGAGTTTTACTGCGTTGAATGCTACAAGGAGTGTGTTGCCAAGAAGTGTGCTGGCTGCAAGAATCCTATTACAGGTATGTTGGKTTAAATGCAGCTCTAGGGCAGTGGGTGCTGAAGGTCAGGACAGTGATCCCCCAAAGGCAGGGAGCCCAGGGGTGGGTAACATCAGAAGCAGCTCTGGTAACCCAATTCCAGTATTTTACATGTGATCTGACTCTGAGCCACGTGCTCGTGCTGGGTGGAGGTTGAGCCACTAACTGAACTCTTCAGCCTTTGCATGTCTCAAATTTACCCCCTTCAAATCTCCCCCAACCAGAACTGTTCCCACCCACATCTTAGTWTGGGATCCTTAAGTTTAAAACAAGTAATGTTTTATTGTCCTGAATGGACATTTGTACACCTTCTGATGTATTTTACAGTTAAATTTACTGGATTTCAGAACTCAGCCCTGAAATGTGGGCACTGTCCTGCCCATCCCATGAGACTCACATTCCATCCTGCATTTCAGAGCATGGATCTGAGCCCCGAAGTTAGAAGTTAGTTTTAGCTCAACCTATCCTTGCTCCATATCTCTCCTTGACTGATTGCTGGAGAAAGGAGCCAAGGGAAAAAGCAAATGGCAGAGACAAGCCATGAAGCCTTATGCTAAGCCACTTGGTTTCTCCAAGAAACGTAAGATGCAACAAAGCCTCAGTTGCCACTTTTGACTGGCATTTCAGGCACACCCTGTGGCCAGCAAGCCTAGGGAAGAGCTGGGGCAGCAGGAACAGGCTCTGCTTTTGGTGGGATAACCCAGCCAAGGCAAAGCTACTATCGCCGTCCTATAATTGTGTTCTCTCCTAGCAGGATTTGGAAGAGGAACCAGTGTGGTTAACTATGAAGATGAATCCTGGCACGATTACTGTTTCAAATGCACAAAGTGTGCCCGTGGTCTGGCCAACAAGCGCTTTGTTTGCCATAATGGRAAAATTTATTGTGCTGAGTGTCCCAAACGACTGTAATGAGCAGATGTAAGATGGATTTTAAAGCCCTGCTTTCCCAAACAATCCTGGTAAAGGAGCAGGTTTTTGCATGTTGAGAACTTTAACTTTTTCCATTTTAGTTTAAGAACTAAATTAGCCTTAATAACTGGGTTTGACTTTTGAAGCTCCTGCAGTATAAAAGCATGTAGCCTTGCAAAAATCTAACCTTGGTTCCAAGTAACTCCTAGTATAAAGGCTTGAAATGCTGTTAGAKGTAGAGATCCACACACCGCCTCATCTGTGTGTGGCTTAAACTAAAACAAATCTAGTTTTAAACTTCTCTGATATATGWTTAAGCTTGGCACTTAACTGAAGTGGGTTTGACAAGGCATGCACCTCGGACACAGAGATGCAAAGATTGCACCTGGGCTCAGAGGGATCCATGATTATGCTTTTACAAGTACWGACATACAACATACACTACACCATTAATATATAATAAATACTTTAGCTTACTCTACTMCACCACATTGCAGCACGTGTAGGAATGGCTTCATCTTACAGCTAACACTGTTTTGGCAGTGACATTTAGCTTAGTTAAGTTTATGGAAACTTGTTTTAGTCTTGATTTCCGCATGCTCTGCCCAAAAGTTTTGCTCATCAGCTTTTTTTATAYCGTTGTTTAAACAAGGCTGTCTATGTACAATTATTAATCCATTAACGAGTAGTAAATCTTTCACCTACAACATGCACATGCATTTACAAGTGCCTCAAAAATAGCTCAGACAATGACAGCTCTCCTATCATGTCAGTGTATGTTTAGTGACTGAATAAAAGAGAGATTAGTGCCTGCTTGGAATCTACAGTCTGGAATTTTATTTTTTTTCATTTTGCTATCTTACATGATTGAAGTGTCTTCAGGCTGAGCTACTGCAACCAAGTCTACTACATTGATACTGGCAAAGTAAGAGTGAGCTGTGCTGTCATTGCACCCTTAAATATCTAAGCACTGAAGCAACCATTTCCATAAACTAATTAATTTTTTAATATATAATTGACACTGGACCATCTGCCAGAAACAGCCTGTGTGAACAAGCCCTTTGGAGAGCATATRTAGAGCCACTGTTCATGCACAGATCTATCACCCTTCAGCAACATGAATGCTGGTTTAAGGAGGTTTTCTTAGTTGTGAAATACAGAAATATTTTATCGATTGAATGCTGGTCCTGTCCTTCCCTTTCACCTACTGACAAAGAACCCTTGCAAGAAAAAGAAAAGGCAGCATCTTGCTGGTCACTGCTCCACTGCTGGACTCACCCTCACAACACAGAGATACAGCTGCTGCAGGGGAAAGGCAAAGGCTGGCAGGGAAAAGCAGGTTAAAGAATTCCTCAGTTCAGAACACACCATCAGTACAAACACAGCAAGAGTTGAAGGTGTTGTTAGTGCAAATCTTATCCCAACCACACAGATGTGATTGCCAGATGCTGCTAGTTTGGGAATCTGCAGATGGAGCAGATAGAGCAGCACCAGAGTGCATCCCAAGGCAGGTCAGCGTGGCAGGGGAGGGAGAGGCCTAGTAAGGTCACATTTAACATTACAGAAATAAAGCATTGTTCAACTGCAAAGTTTATTTAACAGTGCACACGTATTTACACAGGGCTGGATCAGATCATCCAACAAATCTCAGCACAGAAAAAAAATATCGGCATCTTTGTTAGAATGATTGTCTCTGCCAGAACAAAACAGCTATCATACAAAAATACAGTTTTCCTTTTACCTAAGGCACTGCTCTAAAGTCTAAAACAGTTCTACAGTATTTCTGAACAGCAAGAGGGAGAAGGCTGAGGGCTCCTGTTGCAACTGAGGTGTAGTTCCAGCAAACCCACTGCAAACACAGCTCGGATGCATCACTGCAATTGAGGATCAGCCAATGGCTTGTAGCAGGATTTGAGACAGCTACTCTTTAAAGTAATCACCTATCCAGTCTATCTGTAACAGGAGACATCAGAACAAGGCTGCATTGTTACTTTTAGTAGCAATTTTCAGAAGATGCTTCGTTAATTTCTTCATGCTGAAAAAAGCAGGCAAGTTCAGGTTAAATAGATTATTCAATCAGGCTTTAAGGAAGGGAAATATATATGCAGCTGGCAGCCACTGTTATAAAGCCAGACCTGGAACACTTAGAATAATTAACATGAACAAAACATGACTTCAMTGGTCTAATACTGTTATGTACACAATAAAATAATACTTCCATAAGTGAAGATAAATAAGTAATTCAAAAGGAAAACATTTTTAAAAGCATGACACCTTAAACTGCACTGACAGACAAATCTAGGGACTCAACATTTTTGTAATATATTAGAGCACATGCAGTAAAATGTTTTGATGTTTGCCAATAGATTAAAACATATTAATGATGGTACAACACTGCATTTTGAAATTGCCAATATTTTCACACCAGATAATAAGGACCTTTTCCTCTCCATTCAAAACTGAAGATACTCAATTTCGCATTTTTAAATAGCACATGACCCAACAAGAAACAACATTTTTCTAGACATTAAAAAGGAAGTTCAGGTTTAACATACACTGAATGAGTCTTTTATTTGATCAAGGTCATTTTAGAAATATGCAAAGTCTGCAGCTAAATGGGGAGCCTCCACTGGTATGTTGTTCCACATGATACTGATATGAAAAAAAAAAAAAAAAAGACTCAAACAGGTTGCTGTAAAGGGGAAACAAGGAATATCTGAACTAGGAAGCCTTATCTAACAATTAGCTAAACAAATGGAAAAAGAACATTAGCACAACAGTTTCCCTGAAAAGTTTCAAGGTGCAAATTAGAATTCATCCCTCCCCTGGTGTTATTTGCAAACTTGAAGATGGATAAAGGTAAACAAGCAGCTTTTCAAAACAAGGCCTTCGGTACTTGAGAAAACACTGGATTACTGAAGTGCAATCAGATTATTTCCAGGTCTCTAGTGTTCACAGTTCTGTCCAAAGAGCAAAGAGAAGAAAACATTTAACCATCAAAACTGTGTGTATGCCACATGCATCCATCATCACTGTCAGTCTACATCCAGGAGTGAGCACAGAACCACTTGGTCATAGTCCAACACCAGCACAGTAGGTTTTCTTTCTTTTTAWAAGAATTTTAGTTTTCAAAATTATGTACACAATTCTTAAACCATATTATGTCTAAATATTTTCAAGTTCAAAATTAAAAGGCCACACTTTCTTCACTAAAAAGTTAATGATTTTGATCACAATAAAATGTGATCAACAGAACCACAATAAGTCACTATTCCCATGGCCCAGTTCCTCATGGCCTAGAGGAAAGCCTCCATCAGGGTGTGCCCATGGGACTAAAATTCACAAGACGCARAGTGACAGAGGAGACTCATGAAACAGTTCAGTCTAGAAAAGTGCTACACTTTAATCAAAGAAAGTGCTACACATCACTGGAAGGAAACGTGGATAGAAAGGCTTGTTTTTTCYACTAGCATTCACTTCAACTGATCACACAGTCATTTATCCCATGGGAAGAGATCTCCTGCTGTGAACAAGGCCCTTTGGGGTTTGGCTCCAACACCAGAGAAGTCCTCTCTTACACAAACTGGCTTCCTGAAGCCTCTCTGACACACTATGCTGTACCACATCAGTGCTTGGCTTCTCAAGCACATGTGGCTTGAGATGCAGCCCTGCCTCTTACAGGAAATTCAGAATATTTTGTGTGTGTACAGCTTTATCACTCCTCCCTTCCAATCATCTGTGGAATTTCAGGTTGGAGTTACCTGCCTCAATGAAGTAAAAGACTATTCTACAGCAAGTAGAGAAGACAGCTAATACACTGCTAAGAGTCTGAAGAGACCTTGTAAGACCACGCAGGTCACCATCAAAACGTTACAGAACATGCCTAGGAGTGGAAAGGTCTGGTGTGTAGAGTTACATCAGACACCTTTTGAACTGTCAGCATCTTCAAGAGTAACATGTGCCATTTAACGTATCTCAGAAGAACCTTAAAGTACAACAGATGAGCTTCAATGAGGTTTGGAACTTCACAAGGGCTCAGCTGTGTCTTTGGGAGAGCTTTAACATTGGGCCTTAGCAAGTCCCTAAAAAGGCATCAGTTGGTGACTCCTTTTGAGAGAATTCAAGCTAAAAGCACTAAAGAATAAGCCTTCCCTCCAGTCTACACAATGGAAAAAGTGCCTTGAAAACAAGAAGCTGTAGTTAAGGCAAGGAGAGCAAAATGCAAGGAAGTTAACTGCCTAGCTAGAGGAAGAGAGAGATAGAGAAGTCAGCTTGGATTACCTGATGAAGCATCTATAGGTTTGGTCAATGAATTCACTGCACCATCTTCCTCAAAAGCCAATTTGGGACTAGAAGGTATTGTAGCAGCATCATTCAAGTTTTGATTACAGTTACCAGCAGAGATGCTGTCCGAGCTCAGTTTGGTTGACTTGGAATGTACTCCAATGTCAATGAACTCCTCAAAAGTCCATGAACCAGATTTTCCATTAAGATTCTGAATGAGTCCAATTGTATGATCGACTTCATGAACACCCAACTTCCCCGAGTCATCGATAACCATTTCTTTTGCAGGATGGCTAGGAGGAAAAAAAAAAAAAAATGGATACTCGTATTGCAATTTCCACATGTTTAACCTTTACATTGATTCCAGGCTAGACAATTAACAGTCTGCATACTCTGCAAAGCACTGAATATCCCAAAGGGCATTCCCAGACAAGTGCCAGCTGCCACACAGGATCTCCCCTCCAAGAGCCAATGGGGAAGAACAACTCAGCAATAAAAAGCCACTTTTTACTATACTAACAGCTCTCAGGTAAGGTCTGGCTCTAGAAATTTGCTATAATAATGTAATAAGTTTAAAGCCTTGCATCATTAAGTCTTGATTTYTGTAGTGCGTGTTTTTTCTTTTTTTCTCCAGCTAAGACTTTTTAAACACAAAACTAAGACACTCAGTATCAGAAGGCCAGCAATATTTAAAACAGATTCAAAATCTAAWCCCAAATTACTGATCAATTTTCATTCATTCTTAGGAGAATCATGAAAATGTCTTTATATTCCATCACTGGAGGAATGACATTAATTTATCATCACTTATAAAAAGGGTTCACAATATCATTTCTAAACCATTAGCATTTAGATGAACAACTGGAACAAGCATCAGAGGACAGATTTTCCAGTAGTAGACGAAAATGTTCTACATTCAAAAAGATAAAATCTGAAATACTRAAAAACCCAAATTCCTCACTAAGGGAGTCTTCTGCATTGCATCTGGTGTTTCAGCACAACTGAAAGTGTTYTGGAGCTTTCTGTAGGTTATTCTTCCTTTTCTGTGTCATCCTCCTCCTTCTTGTTTAATGTTTTGTTAATGAGAASAACTGCAAGGCATTTCAAGGGAAAAGGTTTCAAACCAGTGTCAGTCTTTATAATCAACACTGCCATGTGCTGGCTGTGTGTCTCACTTCTCAGCAAAGGCAACACTGTTAACATGRTGCCATCCAAACAAACAATTACCCTGAGCTAACTGCTCTGTGTGAGGCTGTGAGCTGACACCACATGCCTGGAGAAAGGCACACAGACATCACAAAGCCAGCAGGGTGCTGCAGACAGCACTGCATTTAATTTAGAGCTACCAATTTAAYTCAGACATTAAACATAGACAGAGATTTCTTGTGTGAGGGGTAAGTGCTTCCACAGTATAGCAGACTCACCTGGAATCCTTCAGTTCAGTAACAGACCCCTCATCACTTTTCAAGTCACTTCCATTCATGAACACTTCAGTGGCCTTCAGCTCTGACTCAGCTTGTTCCTCAGATTCTGCAGAGMTCATGCTTTGTGCAGTCTCTAAACAATCCTCTGCCTCCCCCTTCACTTCCTGGAGCAAGTCAACACCATTTAGCTTTCCTGAATGTTGGGGGAGGAGAAAAAATAAAACCATAAGCAAAAAAAGATCCTGAGTAACAGAAYTGCTGTTCTAGATGAATAAAATACAAGTGCCAAAATGACCTTTCCTAGCCAAAACTCAAGGCACTTGGCTTCAATAGATCTGCTGGTCTATAGACAAGTTGCCTAGAGCAACGTGAGTTTGTTTTTCATCTTTAAAAATCCACTTGTAAAATGAAAGCATGCTGCCTGCATTTCACTCTCAAATAATTCTGTTTGATTCTCTGTTCAAGGGAGTCCCCCTGACATTTCTGAGAGTGATGTCTCAGACCATCACAGTGCTGTTAAGTGTGACCTTTTAAYAGAGCTTAGACATCACTGAGACACTCACTGCCACCCAGACCTGACTCATCCAGCTTCCTTACCTGCTTGATCAGTCTTCTCCAGACCCAGCTCTTCCTCCTCTTCAATATCCTCTCCCTCCATCACTTCTGAGACAGACTTCCCTTCATTCTGCAACTGAATTGCCATAGAGTTACTTGGAATAACTCCTGACCCTCCAGAGTACCACAGATTTCAGTCACAGTTCCCATTCTGTGCCCCACAGTGAGGCCACATCAGTTGTAAGGCTCACAGCCAGCCAGGTCACTCAGCAGCATGAGCTCTGCTGAGCCAGAGCCTGTGGGACCCACTTCCACCTCCTACCTATTATTCCGAGTTCCTTTTCCCCTAATTTCCCCAATGTGCTAAAATATTTAAATATTTTATTTCAGCTGTTTGAATGTATGTTTGAATGTTCAAAGAAGAACTACTATTCCTCAATATGCACAATTTTTCCACAAAACTTAGGTCACTGCCTTAACAAAAATACATCTAATTTTACTGTAGCAATCTGAAGGGAATCCAAGACTTGCTTTAAACAAATACATGATGCCAGAAATCTAAGTTTTCTGGAGAGAAACAGTGCTGGCAGAACACATACAGTTAAAAACAAATCCATTACTACYCAGTGTTTGTTTAAAACCGAGCTGGAAGTGATAACACCAGATAACATTTTGTCTATAGACTTTAAACAAAAATGTAACAAAGACTCTTCAATAGAAYAAGCAAAACAGAAGAATGTGTGCAGTGGGAAGCTACTGGAAATTATTCTGATGCCCCAGAACTTTGCACTTCCTGTGGAAGCCAGTTTATGTAAGGATAACAGAGAAAGACAGGATAGAAGGCAGTAAGTCCTATTCTGTCATTATACAGATCAAAAAAAATAAAGTACCTTGGATTCGTTTTGATCTGATTTTCGTGTTCTTTTCATTATTTCTTCGATTCTCTGTTAAAACAGGGAAAACATTTGCAATWACATACAGAGCTTTATATTTCAGCATTCTGGTTAAATGTTCATCAACCATAATATATTTTTATATTTCATGAGTGTACGACTTTAATCACTGTTTTTAGAGTTCACAAACCATAGCTGGCATCCTTTAAAAAAACACACTTCTATTTAAATGTATCTGAGACCATTTGCCTGTTTATTTTAGGYTGAGAATTCCAAACAGGTTACCTTTTTTCTTTCAAGCCTTTCCTGCATATTTTGCTGCATAATCCTCTCCCTTTCCAGCCGCTGTCTTTCAGCCTCTTCTTGAGCTTTTGCTTCAGCCTCCTCCTTCTGAAAATAAAACAAAAAGAAAGGAGCACCCAGTGCATAAATCATTCCCAACAGTCAAAAGCAAAGCTTTTACAGATTSTGGTTCAACACAGACAGGAACATCAGACAATTACTATTTAATATGAACATACATTACGGCTAAATGTCAATTACCCAGCTACTGACATGAAAGATATATTACTTTGACATTCAGAAACTGAAACTCAACTATACTGAGATAATGCAAATGTTCTGAATGTTGCTGAGCTATTCAATGTTGTTCAAACTATGCTTTGGGATGAACATTTGGCTAAGAAGGACAATTTATAAAGTAACAAGACAGAAATTAAATTCTAAACATGTCAAGGTTAACTTAAAAATCTTGGCAGTCAGGTATTGCTACTAAGACACTTGGTGCTGAACTTCTATTCCTTCCACCCTGGAAAAAYTTTTCCAGTATGACTGGAAAGAAGATAGAAACACAGTTAATACTCTGGAGTAATTGTTGTAAACAAACATTTAAAGAAATGYCCAGACATATGGCAATGCTATTCATAAGATACAATTCTTCAAACACAAATAATTTCAATGTAAAACTGCTTTAGTTTTCAGAATTAATCTCACTTAAGGAAAGCYCACTTTCTGCAGAACAGTTCCCTTCAGTTCTAAGGATGCCTTTGTAAAGGTACATGGATATTTGCTGTGGAAGACTATTCAGCAACAGGAAAAGCAGACATGGAAACACTACCTATCYTTCTTTCAGAGGAATCAGAGTAAGCCAGATTACTTTCCAGACAGAACATCTCCTTGTAACTCACTGCAGTCTGCTGGTAAAGTGGGCTCAGTACAAATATTCTACATATGCAAAAGATCATCTGTGATGGCTAAAAAAAAAAATTCCAAAATAGCTGCTTCTGCCCACACCTGAACTTAGCAAATGCTGGGGAAAAAAATATAAATCACAGAGACCAGGGCATGGAAAGGAYCTACAGACATTTTCAAATCCATCCCAGACAGGATGAACTCAGTTTCTCATCTTGCCTGACAGAGGTTTGTCAAAACCATTATGTGAAAGAAAAATCAAAGACAACCCTCTCAAAACCACAGCAGCAGCTTTTTCCAGGAACACAGCTGGAGSCACAGACCTGCTGTTGAAGCTCTGCGAGTTTTTCCTGCTCTTCCTGCTCCCGGCGGATCCTCTCCTCTTCAGCTTGTCTTTGCTGTTCTTCATAAGTCAGTCTCTTCTCCTCCTCCTGCTTCCGGAGCTCCTCYTCCCGCTGTGCTTTTTCCTCAGCTGCTTTCCTGGCCATTTCTTCTTCTCTGATTCTGGAGTTTGCAAGGTACAGATTACARGGTATTTATTTCTTTAAAAGTGTGCACACACAAGAGACAGAGTAGGAAAACAAGGAAGTTCTAAACAATCCAGTCACAAAATAACTGGACAAAGACACTCTCTGGTGTGGATTTACAAATGCCACCATCCAGACTCGTCACAGTGCAAATCAGAATAGCTTGGGAGAAATTATCTGTGAGTAAATGCCCTTTGCTGATTAAGTCAAGGAAGGGTGTTCCAATAATGGAATGTTTGATTGAGAACTGGGTTAAGCAACTACCATTTAATAAAAACATCTGCAACCATAACATAAATGAAGCTTTTAATCACTGTTGAACATAAATTTAGTGGGAAGACTGTTTCTTGTAAAGCCTGAATTCAGAGATACAGTACAGGTGTACACTGCCAGATCATGCAGACATACAGAGYAGATCTGATGACATATTTCTGATAAAACACCTAGAGCAGATTACATCCAAGTTCTGACAGCTTTATATCCACAACTGGGAAACAGACAAAATCTGATGTTCCACCATGTTCACAAAGGCACAGACAGATGAGCCCTGATTTGGAATAGTTAGTCAGCACTAACTTAGCAATTTATTTGTAACAACTTCTATGCAGTGAACCAAATGCACACTGATTTAACACTTTGAGTTACTTGCTAGCAACATTTCTGATTGAGATTTCGTATCACCAAGATGAGATTTAATGTACCATCAAACCACACCCCTCCACAGAAAGTATTCCTCTACTGTTACCTTTCTTCTTCCTGTCTCTGTATTCTCTCTTGGTCTTCACGCTCTCTTTGCTCCCGTGCCAGACGTCGCTTCTCTGTCAAGATTTTTGCAGCTTCTTCAGCTGTGGTGGTCCCTGCTACTGTTTTGTTACCTGATTCTGCAAAGTTTAAAAGAATCTGTTAGAAAGCTCCAGTAAGTTAAAATCAATAAAGATGTTATCWTTGTGAGATGAGATCTTAGAGCCAACTGATTCAGTATCTTTTCCATCAGTGCTCATCACTCAGTAGTGCACTCCTATCTAAAAGCCTGCAAGAGCCAAAAGGGAGCCCTGAAGATGCAGAGCCACAATATCTCACTGACACTGAAATAATAGCAGCTCATTTCAACACTGATCCAGCCATATTCCAGATGACACACTTAAAGATACTCTCTGATTATCACAGCACTTAAAAACATGTTTCTGAAAATACACCCTTATTTCTGTAACACTTCAGCAGTGAAAAGAAAACTAGCAAAAAATACWGCTTTAGGAAATATCTTTCACTTCCTTCTAATAAAACTGAACGCACATGACCCTAAAGAAGAAATYATCATTCTTTTATTTTTCTTGTTTCATAACGTTAACATTCATGCCTTAATGAGTATCTTATGGTGCAAATAATCACCATTTTATCTGGTCCTGAAGGCACGTACTAATGACTTCAGTAATACCATATTYCTATACATTAGCAACAAATCAATTTCCAATTTACATGGAGATCAAAACAGCTTCAACCAACCAGGTGAGTAGATCTTTGCAGGTCCTGCTGCTTATGTTTCTTCATGTCCTGCCTGGTGTTATGGTTTCTGAACATCAGAGACACTATTATAACTTAACATTAGGAAAAACGTCAAAACAGAACCATTTTGCCATCCAGCTGCTCTCAATATGTATATTGAAAGAACTCTGATTTCTATCAGTTATTCCCATTCTCTAGAAATATTTCTCTTTGAATGTGACTTAAAATCTCATCATCTGAATATTCACATAATTAGCTCTTGATGTCAGTAGAACAGCAGCATCATAATGTTGGTGAAGACCTGCCTTTCTCCTTAGCATTTCATGAATCAGCACATACATGATTGCTTAACATTTATAGAGCCTTCAAGTCAAGGTAATTTTAATGAACTATGACATCAGGGTTTGACCACTTATTTTGCTTCTGATCTGAAGACAAAACATTCAGAAGACAATGTCATCATTAGGAACTTTAATACCTGAAAAGCTTCTTAAGCCTCATGGACACGTAATCACTACCTCCAGCTGCAGGGTATAATTACACAGAGCAAACCCTCAGCAGCTGAACCGTGGCTGTGTTTTGTGTATAAAAATTGTTGTTGTGGTCCCAGGAAAAGCATTTCAGTASTGATGGAGTACAGGCACAGAGAGTGTTCTAACATTTACGTTCAAAGCTGAGAAAACACCACCTCYCCAGACAACACTTTGCTTCTGATTTGGAAAAAAGCTGCAGACATATTGGTACTAACAAAAATCAGCCATGACTATTCCAAATCTGAACTCATTCAAAAGGGGTCCTTGTCAACCTGAGCAAGAAAGAGCACTTTGCATTTACAAAAACCATTAGCAGATCTGCCTRTTCAAGACAGGCAGATGCTTTTCTTCCTATATTCTGTAACTTACTAGGTTTCATTTACTGTTGCCAGTGTATGAAGAAGTCAAAATGTCTCTTCCTCTGCCCTATGAGTATATTACCAGTTCAGACTACTCACTTTTTACAGAGAAGGCCRTTTTCTGTTGARCATTTSCAATCTCTCCCAGTTGTATCAATTYCGGTTGACATTTAATGTCAGGTTTAACCTATTACCCCTCCTCAAAACTGAATCTAAATAAGACAACCTAATGCTCAGTAAGAAGCCTAAAGGTTTTAGACTTTAAAATTCTWGGGTTACAACATGATAATGACAGTTTAAATATGGTATCTGGTATTGATAGAAGAAAATTAGTCTCAACAGTTCAGAAACACTGCAGATATGAAAAGAACAGGGAAAAAAAACAAAAAGGAAGGGTTAGGGACCTTCCCACAGAATTTTACATACAGTTTTACTGATGCTTTCCATATAGGTACTTCAATACTGTTTTCATCTCCATGCACCCTGTACAGCCTGTTTCCATGTCCTGACATGAGACTTCCCCACATGAATGCTAGCATGCCTTAAGAAAATTCTGACAGACTTTTACACTCAGCTTCCTTTTCCTTGTATTCCTACTCACTAGTGGTAAGAACAGTCTTTTTATCAAAGGATCTTTTTGTAATGGAAGGGGAAAGAGAGAAATAGGCAAGAGAAACAATCTCTGAACACTTGCAAAATGTAGCTGGATGGAGGGAAGATTCCAACAGATTTCAAGGTAAGTAATTTATTCACAATTAATCTAGGAATCATATTTCAAAGCCTTCAATACCCAGATACAAAAAGTGAGGCTCCATGATAGTTTATTACCTATCATCATGCATAAGGTGAGAGCTCATGAAGGAGCACTTCTTATGCTTTAAGTTGAACAAGCCTTTTAATTCTCAGAGAAGCTGCGAGAGGCTGCTGCCAGAAATGACAACTGTTCCAAGTCACTGAAAAATAAAAWGTGTTTTACTGCAGAACAGTATATTGCAGTAGGAAGACACAAAAAACAAAGACAAAAACTTGATTGCTGTCAGCAACAGRCAAACAAGTCCAGTTTGAAGGAGAAGAGATGGGATGAAGGTACAAGTGCACGAAGCTGAAATTAGGCTAAACCTACAAGTCCTAGAGACCAATTTGCCACATGCCATTCACTGATGTGCTCTGACTTCAGAAGCTGTCTGGGATAGRGAATTGCACCAACCCACAAGGGTGAACTGCTGACACAGATGTATAAAATGAAAACTGCCTTGAAAATTGAAAGCAACATTTTCTTTTTAAGAAAAAAGATTTTGCCTCAYTTAGCAATATTGCAGTGTACCAAAATGTTCAAAGAGATAAGTGAAATCATCTCTRTGTTGAAGAACATGCCCACTATTTCCTTCTGTTCTGTGCGTCAAAGAGCTTTGCCCAGCCCCAGATGGAATCACTACAAAGATGACTATCTTGAGATTAGAAATAAACTACAAGGGAAACAGATAAACTGGGTTAATACAGTTTCAGAAGTCAGCATAGAGAGGAGACAGATCAGGCATCCAAGGAACAAGGASAGGTGTTCTTGTTCCAGAACAACTRCAAGATACAGGACTAGGACACGTTGTTATGGAAGATTCAAGCCAACTGATGACATTGTTCAGAAGTGATGATGCTCTGAGGCACACAAGACATTTATCAGTAGTATGGCAGCACATCGAAGGATGGACGTTCTCACTGCAAAGACAAAGAATGTGACACCAAAGATGGATGTGCAACTTGGTACAAACATCCACCTCTGACAGCCAGGCTTCCTTCCACAGGAACACATGCTCACAGAGCTGTACCATGAGTTCTTCAGATGAGTGACACTTCTTCACATCCAACATGAGCAGTTTCAGAAGGAGCCTCAGAAGTGGCAGAGAACAGCAGCAGCTGAGGAATGCACACAGGACCCCCACATGCAGTAAAACATGCAGCAAGCACATGTTCCCACTTACCTGGTGTCTGAGGGGTTCACCCCAGCACTGCCCACTGGCTGTAGCTTACATTCTAAAGATCCCTCCTTTTCCTGTCAAAGGCCCTTAAGCCCTTCTCCACAGTGTCTATCTGCCAGACTTCATCAGAAGGCTCTCCCAGATTCTGCTGGAGATGGCAGCTGGCATTTTTTCCAGTGAGGGACACAGGCTGAGCTCACATGGCCCAAAGAAGAGGACTAGGACACTAACTGCTTATCCAGTGTATGGCTCTCCTTAATCTATCAGGGTAATTTCTCAGTGGGACCCATGAACTGATCACTCTTCCCAAGGCAGCAATGATTACACATTCACTGGAACTGAGGCTGAGGCAGCCTTTGAGTGTTGTGAAAGCTCTCTCAGCCTGTCATGAACAGGAGCTGATTTTGTCRCCCAAGCAGGTCTCTACAGAAGCACTTTAAATACCACCAACTGAACTGAAAGACCTTTGTGTAGTTTAACTACTGACTTTATAAACCTAAGCTAGTAGATCCCTCAGCTAGAGTAGCTGAAGCCCAAAAGGCAAAGAAGATTTCTGCTTTTCTTAAAATTACAGTACAAGCAGTAATATCAAAAGCTTCTGACTTAAATCTCCAAGTCAAATAAACTGCATTAAAATTCACATCCCAAAGTCATACCATGCAAAATTATTACATAATCAGCGATGAACAGCTTTTGCTTTAAAGCATCCTACCCTCCAGTGCTCTGCCTCACGAACCAGTTGCTCCCCAATCCCAGCACACATTGGAGAGGCCTCAAGCAGGARTGAGTCAGGCACTGAGAAACACCCACCTTCTTTGGTCTTTGTGCTAGCTGCTCCTGCATCCCTGTCCAAGGCTGGGGAAGCACTTTGCTCTTGTCCTGYTCCTTCTGTGCTCTTATCCTTTGGTTTGCTCTCTGCTTCAGTTTTCTTTTTGGTAATGTTTACAACACCTGGAGTGAGAGGTGGACGCTGGATGGGTGCTGGTTTAGAGACTGGAGTAGGAGATGGTGGTCTTTGTTTCGACACGCCAGGTGAAGGTGGGCGAGTCTTCTGTCTGTTGAAATAAAGAATATTTTTCAGAGCTAACAATGAAAACCTCAACCACGCATCTGAGGAGAGCAGTCTCCTTTGTTTAGTTTATATTACATACCTCACTTTTAAAAATAAATCCACCCWCAAACTACTGGTGCCTTCCCCATAAAACTCAAACCAGGATTCCAAAACACCCTGGGCGTGCCACTTGTGGGCTAACATCAAAACAGGACTGCTAGCCCAGATCTCCATCTACTCCATATCTAGGATGAACCTTGTAATTCCAATCCAAAAAACTTCCTACACTAATACAGGTAGATCAGTTTATTCAAAAGCTTGCAGGCCTCCTGTTGGTTTTAGTGAACAGACTGCACAGAAAATCAGGGTGTATTATGTCTGCACAACAAAGGTTGAAGGAAAAGCTGCATCCTTWCTGGGAAGGGAAATTGGACTGAAAATGAAGTCTTTTCTGTACAAACAAAGCATAGCACAGGTCATTCAAACTCTAAGAGCACAGCTATCTTGAAACAGGAAGCAGCCTTCATTTTGTGCTGAATAGAAGGTGTTCAACCTGGACACATAGCTGACTGCAGAAGGGGTTTAACCTGGACACACACCTGACTGCAGAAGGGGTTTAACCTGGACACATACTGGACTGCAGAAGGGTTTAACCTGGACACATACTGGATTGCAGAAGGTGTTTAACCTGGACACATACTGGACTGCAGAAGGTGTTTAACCTGGACACATACCTGACTGCAGAAGGGTTTAACTGGACACATAACTGACTGCAGAAGGGTTTAACTGGACACATACCTGACTGCAGAAGGGGACGGAGGACGCTTCACCAAATTAGCAGGAGAGGGGGATCTTCTACAGGCAGACACGGATGGTGAGGGAGGGCGCCTCAAACCAGAACCTGGGGATGGTTTTTCTGTCTCTGACTTCTACAAGATACATAAAACCAAAATACACTAGGATACACTGCAGACAGAGGAGCTGCTATTCAAACAAACATACAAGCTCTCAACAAGATGCACTTTGAATTTCCTTTATGTTCAAAACACAGACCAGGTCTGTGTTTAATTTTTACAATTTACAAATTAAACTTCGGGAACCATAAGCAGCAAACAATATGCCTTCAAGATACAAGAGAGAATCAAGTACTGTAAAATTCCAATTTGATTTTAATACTCCATATTTTTCAGGCAAATGCTATTGTACATTTCATTAATGCTTATTGAAAGCAACTGCAAAGAAGTGAAAYAGGATCCCATCCTGAGCTATTCCAAGGCCCCAGATTATTAGAAACTTAATTTCTGTGCATTTTCAACGAACCTGGGTTGAATCAGGTGAACTTGCATCAGATGAAGATACAGAGGACTTCAAYCTGTCGATGCTACGGCTGCGCACGGGCACTTTGGGAGCTGGGACTGGGGAATTGATGGAACTGGCTGAAGCTGAACGAGGACAGAGGTGAGATTCTATAAAAGTTAGGAATTTGACAAGACAAAACAAGAACCAAGTGCACAGCATAAGAACAGGAGAGAAGGAAGAGGGAGAAAAAGAGAAAGAGATTGTGTGTGTTAGAAACCATACAGGGAAACACCGCAGGCAGTGCACAGTGCAACGGGTCACGGACAGACACCACCACCACACAATTAGTACTTGGGAAGCAACAGCACCAAGAATAAAACCACTCTAAAAGCAGCAGTCTGGAGTAGATAAAAATAAAATGCTTTTCCAAAAATTGACTATATTTTCAGTACACCAGTGATGCTTTAATTTTAATCAAGTTGCATTTGATCACAAATGCTTCAGTTTTAATGGCTTGGCATCTTTCCTGACAACTTCTTCATTACAGGATCAGATTTTAAGCATGTTTTCTTTATACTCAAGGAGGAAACCATCCTTCTTTTCAAAGATGGTGTAAATGAAATGTATCAAGAGAAAAAAGGACAACTACTTAACTACGATACCTTTCCTACCTGAAGTGTCAATCTCTTCACATATAAGGTATTCAAAGAAATTTTATCTTATTACTTTTTTTCACTAACATGATCATAGATTAGCACACATAAATGCAAAAATATTCTAAAACTAGATACTGGATTCTTCTATAACCAAAAAAAATAGCATTAGATGCCAGCACTTAGTTTTGTAACTTTATGGAAAATACATTTTATTTTTGTATTTGCAGCATTTGTGCAAGGAGACCTGCATTCTGTTTGTGCAGAGGTTGTGCTAAAGCACAGGTACTTTTCTACTGAAATGAAAAAAGTACCTCTAAGTAAATGAAAAAAATGTATCTTTAATTCAGTGAGTGTCACATGCTAACAGTAACAGCAAAAAAAGATGGTATTTCCCCACAGAACATGAACTGAAGTATTCATGGTAAAATAAGAGCAGCACATACACAGGTGTGTAAAAATATGACTACTGACAATAAACCAAAAAATAAAAACTGATTATTACACAAACAGTGTGGAGATGCCACCATCACCAACAAGGACCAAGTGAAGTGGTGTGGTGCAAGGTAAAAAATAAAGATGGGATAACATACTTAAGAGAAAACAAAACTTGGAACACACATTGTAAAATAAAGAGGAGAAAGGACTCCACATTGGTTCCAGARATGCATTTACTGGGGCATTATTAACTAATCAGTAACAATTCCAGGATATGTGGATGCAGATAGGGGCTTTGTCCGTGATGCAAATCCCTGCTCTAGTACTAAACTGAGCCCCAGTGTGGACATATCAGCTCAATCTGGACCAACATAAAACTGCTTGAGCCAGCCAGGGTTTCTCTCTTCTCCTATTATGCCTCAACTTCTACAATCAGCTGAACAAAGCCAGGTCAGGGATCCCTGTACTTATCGTAAGATAACCCCATTGTTACACTCCTGCAAGAGTTTCTTCCCCTAAACAAACTTAGGTTGTGCACTTTGAAATTACTGGTTGGTTTGGAGTTTTTTTTCCCCTTTCATTTCCTAATAGTGTTATGATCAGAATGTCTCAGATTGATTTGAGGCTACAAATGCAGATCTCTGTCAGTTAAAAAAACCACACACAAAAGCCCCAGAACGAACACCAGCATCTGGTTCTCTGCAGAGCAAGTAAACCAGCACTGCAGTTTAAAAGCCAGTATTATTCTATGGTTTTGTAAAGTAAACATGCAACAYAGCATATGAATTGGGTATTAATGACCACAGAAAATACTGGGTAAGTAATATTACACACAACCACGTATTAACTGTCTGATTGACACCRAAGTGCAGCACAGTTAGCAACTACCATCTAAGCTCTCACTTGAAGAGCAACTGTGTAAGACTTTGAGGCTTTGCTGCCCTCCTGTTACCTGAGGGGTCCTGTCCATCAGCCAAGGTAGCAGCACTTTTACTCCTAGCTAGGGAGGCCTGTGTGGGGGCGAGGAGGCGGCTGATTACGCTACTGTCCAGGGGACTGAGCTGGGAGCGACGAGCTGAATGACAGGAACAAATCAAAAAGGATCCAACATGAAATCATATCATGGAAAAGACAAGCAGCACAAAGCAAAGGAAGACTGAGCAAATCGTTGCAAATCGTAACGGTTTTGAAGAGCAATAGTGTAGTCATGGAGAGGGAAAACCAAACTAAAGGCACAGAAGGGTTAAGCACTGCAATCTCTTATGTTGCACTTCTTGCTCTGGCCTTGCTTAGTCATTTTAATGTGCAGAGACTGGCACGTGTACAACAGAGATGAATGCTGAATCCAGCCAAAGTATGAGACCTTTTTGACTGAGTTCTTCAGAGATACATTCTCTAGATTGCAGGAAAGGCTGTTTTGACATAATAAACAGAAGACTTGCAAGTCAAAGGGAGCGGTTATGGTCAAGCATCATCTGCACACACAGATTCACATGGATGGCACCCATCATTCTCTCATACAGGAAAGATTCTGAAGCAGAATGCAATTTCAACTGTTGGCAACAGCTGCTAAAAAGGAAAGTTTCAGAACTGTTAATTCAGAGGGAAAARCATGTTAGAGAAGGTGCTATTCTTCAGGTTTAGGAGGAATTCCTAGGAAAGAGGTTATTTGTAGCCTAATGGGGAATACACAGATGAAAAGACACTGAGCTGAGAACAGTTTCCTCCTTCATGCAAAGGTTTACACCAGCAGCAGGAACAGAGAAGTTGGTTTTTAACTGAATGATGAAAGAAAACTTAGAAAAGCAAAGGTAAGATTTAACTAAGTGAACAGAGCAGTGATATTTTTACTATTTCTGACATTTAAATCCACCAGCTCTCAAATACATTGCTCTCTTAAGCAGAGAGAGACGTTACTATCTGCTTACAGTGCCATTTAAAAAAGACAAAGGCCTTCTCAGAGGATTTCTTTTTTGTCCAAAAGGATAAATTTAACCTTTACCATTTTATCTTTAACACTAGGTAACTAAAAAGCCATTACAGTTCCTAGAAATTTAAGAACCTAGGAAACTAATAAAAGTTTATCCATATTTTGCTGTCCTATCCATATTTTGCTGTCAGTGGCTTTAAAAAATACTCATTTTATGAAACAACCACCTGGTTTTTCTTCCTTTTTCACTTTTTCTAGTTCTGGAGAGGATTGGGGTTTACTACTCATTCTACTCAAAGAAGTGCTCCTCTTCTTTTCTGTTCCGCCTAGAGACCAAGCGTAAGGAAAATTATTTTTAACAAGGTATTTATATATATGGTTTTCTAAAACGCCATGCCATGCTTTGTTTTTAGTAATCAGCTAAACCCATCAATATATCATGATGAAGCACTATTTTCTCATTAGTTAAATGGTTTGGCCATTTAACTCCCCCCACCCTTCCACTTTTCAGAGGAATAAGGCTGGTTTAGAGACAGTTACCCAATATCTGGCACTGCAGTGTGGACAATGGTATTTATGCCACAGTGACCAGGCTACATGAATGCCTAAGTGAAAACATTTATAAAGAAACTGGGACATGATTTCAATYCAGCTTCAAATATCCCATTCACTGCCTCCCAATTCTCAAAACAAACTGGTTTCTAGCACCTTTCTGTTCCACATGCGAACCTTTGGGTGCTGACTGCTGGGAATGTGAAGAAACTTTGTTATTCAGTCTGTTTAATGAGGCACTTCTCTTTGTGGTACCTGGAAGTGAAAGTGCATTGATTAATTATGCTGAAAAGCCCAGAGGTTCCCTCCAACACCTGCCCCGCTTCCCTAAGAGAGAGAAGAATGATTAAGTCACTTTATAATATTGAATTTTTCAAAAGCAGAAAAACTGGATCAGGGGAGAATCGCTCTATATAAAGTATTATCACTTATATTCCTGTGAATTTCTGATCACAACAGCAGGATGTCAGTCATAACAGATTCTTCTTTGATCTACTGAGGCCATCCTTGTACACCTTTTAAAATAAATGACAATTTTTAAAGAAAATTTTTCACATTCTCTATGAGTATGAGTGAGCCTAGAATTAATGCAGAACAGTGTTAATTGGGGATACTCCACTGATCCAGGACAGGCATCATCTTCTCATTTCCACATTCTGCTCCTTCACCCTCCCAGGCACACATGCATGATAGAAGCAATCTGGTTCATTCTGTGACTCTATTTTCTGACCTCTGAATTTACCCATCTTTTTACCTAACAGACGTTTCCCCCTGAGTGTCAGATTGAGAGCACAGGATCACTCTAAGTCAATCTCTACACCCTGACCACGTAGATCACTTGGATCATTTGGAGTCCTGTCCAAATGTGTTGTATTTCAGGCCACCTGAGASTATTTTCTCCAGAGCAACTAAGAATTCGCAAAGGATTTCAAGATATGACAGCAAGTTYGAAAGCAATCCCAATTAGTTGATAATTAGCGACTTCCTTTGTAAGCAGTTTAATTTGTACTTTACAGCCCTGCTTCTGACTCATACCCAGAGCTGAACCCTGCAGACACATAATATATAAATACAATTTAAAGTCACAAGCAGCCTCCAGTGACTCAGAACTCCTGCCAGGATAGATATAGTCACTGATTTCCCCACCAGGCATCAGTGTGTGAGCACTAATTTTTCTGCTGCATCACCTTCCAGCATGAACCAGCAAAACCACCTTTAGCTGTGTCTGTGTCAGGGATTCTTCTAGCACAGTTTGCTTGATCAAAGGCTGCAGATTGGCAGAACACTGCAGTACAGACCTAGTTGAATCTGCTTTTGTGTATTAAATAAGCTTTTAGCTTATTCATTCATTTTGGAAAAACAAAACAAAACAAAAAAACAAAACAACAAAGCAAAAAACTCCAATATTTGCAATACAGGCAGATTGCTATGAAACACTGGGAAGATTCCCAATAAGGAAATCTCATGCTTAACCAAGGCAAAATATGTACTCCTACAAATAGTTTATTCATCTTAAAAAGTAGATTAGGACAATTCCTTGTTGAAATTAAGCTGATTTTTTTCTTCCCATTGGCAATCAAATGACTGAAGCTGTCTAACARAACAAGATAAATTTTATTTTGGTACTATTTCTATTTTGCTAAAATTTCAGGGTGTGAATTAAGGCATGCAGATCCATAGAGATGATCGGAAATGATCTGTGAATCATTCACCAAGATTTGACTTTAGTAACAGAATTACAGAAATAAAAAAATAAAAGGCCAGCAATTTTTACCGTCATTCTTCTCCTCTAACAGAGATCACATCAACTGGGTCAAAGCCCTGAACAGTCAAGCTGGATTAACAAATTGCATGAAATGCATCTGAGATCAAAATATGAAGGGAAGCACAGAGCAGGGGAGGAGGGAGGAGTTTCAGTGYACCTCCTGTCTCCTCCCCAGCAGCCACACACCCCACTTACTTCGGTCAGAGGTGTTTAAAAGCGCTGCAGAYGAGGACAGGCGTTTGCTCACGGCAGCCTCTGCCTGTTTGAGGTTGGCTGTGGAGGGCGAGCGTTTGCTGGCTGTGGAGAGAAGKGATGACTTTAGAACTGCCTTCTTACTGAGCCTTTCACACCTTGCTGAGAGCTCACTCTCCAAGTATTACATCCTGAAAGTTATTTCCACTTTCATTTTWCAAGGAACACAAATAATTTTGTTTTTCTTCAAATAAGTTTGATGCCATTAGCACCAGTTGGGACAGGCACACGAAGGCAAAGTTTAGCGAAGTCATGCCAGGATTTATGCATATGGGTGCAAACACAGGATTTCTAAACCCTGCTCTCCTAACACTTAAATACAAAAGATACTGAGGTTGTGTGTTGTTACCAGACTGGCAAGACAGATAAAGTTACAACAAAACCTGGAAAATTTCTTTCTACATGCCTTCCACATAGGTATGTAAAAACAATTTTTTTAGCTAATAAATCCAAACCAAAACAAATTATTTTGGAGGGATAAAACCAAGTCTTGAGAAAAGGCAAGAAAGTATTCCTATTTCTGACAGATTGACAATGGCTGCTGTAGTTTAAAAATTTCCAATTTTTCTCCGAAAGCTTCTCTTAAGTTAATGTTTCCTATCAAATCTGCAGTTATTTTGGAAAAAAAACAACAAAACAAACCTGCCACAAAAGGCATGAATTTTTTTTTTGGTATGTGCATACACACAGACACATATACATACATAAAAATCACATATTGTGTGGCAGATTTTATTACAAGGCAGATAAATACCTGCTTTTTAAATTTAAATAATGTACTTTCAGGATGAACACTACTCCAGAGTGTGAAAGCTTTGGGAAAGCATGTACCTGATGCTATAGAAACTCAATAAGCAGAAAACATTAATGCACACAAAATGGTCCAGACCAGCATAACAAACACGAAATTCTATATATCTCGCACAAGTAAATTATTTTACTGACACACTGGACAGCACAGACRATTAATCTGAACTCATTAGTGCATAAGTACCAAAGGACAAAGCAGCACTACTCACCACAGAGGCAGCATCTTTTCCCCTTGCCAGCATGCTACAACAGCCCCTTATAACCAGAGCCAGGACATAAGGATTTCTATGGACAGCCCTACTGGAAGCTCTTGTAACAGTGAACAAGAGCAAATCCCCATGGGATACGAGGGAGAGAGGGAGATCTACCAAATCTGGTTAAGAAATTAAGATCTGGGTGTAGTGGATGCTTTCCCAACATAACAAGAGAAAAAAAAAAGGCATTTCATGAATTGAGACTGACAACTGGGATAACTAAACAGCCTTAAGAGGTTTTATATACGAAAATCAGGAAACTCATAATTATGTTTCTGAAGGGGAAGGCTACCCTCTAGTGTCTGCTCTTAAAAGGAAATCCTGGCTCCTGCCTGAATTGAACAGAGTCCAAGGCCTCCAAATCTCACAGAGACACTTGACACAAATTTCTCTTGGTTYAAACCAGCACTTCAGCATTTGCATGAAATCTGAGATTTGGTCTATCACCTGCTGGGATTAAGTGTAAGTAAAGTGGTCAATGCTTTCTTGCTCAACACATTTTCATGATCAGAGAGGCTCAACTTTCTCCCTACTGCATTTACAGAACAGCTTCTGCAAACTTTAGAGCCCTTTTCACTAGAAAAGAAAGCTTTGGATGACAGAATATTCCTGAGCCAATCAGTCTGGTTATGTAGCTATTTATGAAATATAATTTGAAAAATTTCCTCAAATTTCTTTGGGGGAAAGTTAGAAAACCTCCATCAAGGGGTTTGAAATGGAAGAAGCACATAGCCCATGTGACACCAACTTCTCCATTTTTCTAATGGAAGGGGGAAAGCAAACTGCAGTAGCAGAGCCAAAGACAGCACGTCTGCCATACAGCAGGGCTTGGAACTGGGGAAGGAGCTGGGAGACACGGGATCTTATGAAAACCACTCAGAGTGAGGGGCTTTCTATCATCGCAGGGTTTCACTGAGAGAGGGTGCTGCAGCATTGCCTGAGGATGGGTAACAGGAGGCTACATAAGTAAGATTAGCTGTCTCTCACTTCCTTCCAAATTTCTACTAGGACAAGGAAGCTCTTCATTTAGCAAGGAGAAACTCTGGCAGCCCCATTTCCATTCTAATGGCATGTCTCCAGTCCTGATGCACCTGAACCTCTAGTTCTGCTCAGCAGGCACCACTAAACCACCCCCTTTACCAGGACTGTCATCAAGGATGCTTTATTGCACAGCCTGGCTGTTCCTCTTGGCAGACCCATCCTYTCTGTTTCATCTTAGCACTGACATCAATGCCATTAATGTAAYACTTGACTCTGGGGCTTTCATCAATTTTTACATTTCACCATCAGCGGGATCCCTGCTGCRGTCTCATGAATCACACTCCACATCCCACAGAACTGCTGATGGCCAGGGAAATGTTCCATTACATGGCCTTCACTTTCCAGAGCACACTATCAACCYAAACTTCTGCTCTGCCACTCAATGTTCCTAAATATTACCGTTGACACACCCAGTTCATGGAAGACATAACTGATTTTGCATCTTTTTTTGCACAGCATTACAATAGAAAAGAATGCCTTCTGTCCTAAAATAATTAAAGAATGTTTAAAATCGGTTCCCTAAATGGATGTCATTTTATGAAATAGGGCTTTAATCCCACATCCGCCACAGAATTTGAGGGTGCAAAAATAATATTGCATTGAAATTTGCTCTAGATGTGCAGTTAAAGAAGGTGCATTATTCAGCCACAATGATGTAATACAGCAGAGCTCACATGGTGTCATTTTTCGAAGTAAAAGAAAAGATAATTGTTGACTTTCCAGAAATTATGCAAATACAATGCAAAATGGACCATATAAGTCTTTTTTASAAAGCCAGCTAGACTTAAGTATCCTACATGGCTTGGGTAGATTTTCAGTAAWAAAGTAATGAGCTCTCAAAGTTAAAAATAATTACCCTGAAAMAGGAATAAATATGACAAATGTAAAACCAGGCATAGTTCCACATTATCCACCCCATGCATGACAACTTCATGTTTGAAACATTAACTTAAAATCAAACAATTTTAAAACAATGTGGATGCACAATGGTTTAACTAGGACACTGCATTATCTGTTTATCTCCAAAGCAATTTTTTTCCAGATTGGTGCCAAGTTTTCCAAATTGATCTATTATTGCTGAACACCCTGAACAGTTACTTCATGCATAAGTCACAATTTAAGCATCTATYATTACATCAAGAGCATTTGTGTTGGAAGATATTTTATCTTAATGTGCTTCAGCAGTATTGAAGATCTTCCTCCACAATGAAAAGGACAGACAAGGCTCATTTCCTCACACACATCAGGAGAGAGCAAAGAACATTATTTTATGTTTGTTAGTAGAAAAAACTCTGGGCTTTCTTAAAAATGTGAGGCAAATGTGATTTCTCACTTTTAAGGTTAAATGGTATTTGATAGTGTGAGATACAGTAATTGGAATTATATTTATATCCAARGAACACATGCGAAGTAGGTAAACCAATCCAGCCAAACTGGCTGATTTTGGAGAAAATTAGAGGCTCATGATGTGGAGGGAAAGAGAATAGTTAACTGAAATCCACATGCTTCTGCTGTGCTGGCAGAGTAGTTAAATCATACTCAATCAGACCTTCACTGCATTTTCAAGTCTCACTTGTCTGTGTCACAGACAGCTGCACAGCGTTAGTAATGCTGTGGGCACGCACAGACTGCCAGGATTCAGATTCAGCTGGGTCTCAGCTGAGAGWTTTCATCTCAAACTAGCTACAARAAATAATTTTGCTTATTAAACATAYGCATCAGTGATCCAAAGCATTTCTATGAATGGTTCAGTCTGTGCACTGGAAAGTGCCAGAAATCCAATGAAAACACATTTAATGKATAGAATTATCTTTAGATAATTGGGACAACTCTGATTTTGCAAAACCCTTCATGGAAAAAGCATCAAACTGCACAAGGAACCCATTCCCTTTCACAAAGTTTCTGCAAATACCATTTGAACTTGCAAATGTTACCTCAATTGCTGGTAGAAAAAACAAGAAAGAAACAAACAAGCCGTTCCATCAACTTTTTGCAAATTAGGAAGCAATGAAAGGGTTTGAAACTGTGCTTAAAACCCCCAAACCCTAGACTACTGAACTSATTTATATTCAAATACTTGCCACTAAGAATTTCTCTTCTCATTGTGTTGTATCAAGCCATCTTTAAAAACCCAAATTCACAGCTTTTCCCTGTGATGGGAATGCCATGACTTATGCTGTAGTTGAATTAGCCGGGAGGGATAGTTAAAATGAGGGGGGCTGCTTTCTACTTAGGGATCACATTTGTTGCRCAGCTGGCCAAGTTCCAGGAAAAGATCTATTAGAAGATGGTTTTCCTTAGTTTCAGAGAAAGAACTCAAGTTTAAAGGGTTAGTAGTGAGTATAAAACCACAGAAAAAGAACATATTTGAAATCAATACCACCAGTTCCACCTTCATCTGTGCTCTGTTGTTCTGTAGAAGAAGAAGGTTTGTAAGCTAAGTCACTAGGTCAAACAGCAAAAAAACACAAGTTAACCAAAAAATGGGGATGCTGCATATCATAATGGCAACTTATATCAAAGCACTTTCAAACATGTTACAAACACACACTCAAGCTGAAAGAAAATGACATCACTAAAAAACACTCAGTGACAWTACTAAAACACACTCAGTACCATTCCACCAATACAGAAAATAGGCTGAACTGAAGCATTTTTTAATTTATTTTATTCCTGGCCAATAACTTATTTATTGGTGGTTAGATAATGCATGAAAAGATCCCTTCCCCCGCAAGCCTTATTTGCTGGTCTGGTTTCAGAAAGCTTACAAGCAGAAACAGTTAATTGTGAAACAAGAAATTATCTGAGTTCAAATTAAGAAGTGTTAAAATGCCTAATCCAGAATGGAACCCATGCTCCAAGAAGTTTGGACTGTCCACTGCATTTCCTTGCCCATCACTGGGCATTCAGATAATGTCAGCATTCTGTAACTCTTAAGGGTGTGTTTAAAACCTTTTAGATATAATATTGGAGTACAGCTGGGTATTTCTGTTTTTATCATCAGTGTTAGCACTCCTATACATGTACTGCATTTGGAGGACTCCGAATTATCTTAACATTACACATCATAATTCCCCTTATCTGATGTTTGGGGCTGGCASTGCTGTCACACGTTTTATTTCCCAGGGTGCTTCTCTCCAGCTCTTCCCAAGGTCAAAAATAGCTCTGAGCAGCACTTCAGGGCAAGTACAGATATGATACTTTTCCCATGAGCTACATACAGATCCTGTTTTAAGATCCAGGATAGGAAAGGATGCCCAGGGCCCKACGAATATTGCTGCATCTGCCAGTGTTCACACATAATATTCTGTGATTTTAGTCCTACTAAAAACGTGCTGCTTACCTGTTTTGCTTTCTGAGTCTGGAGTTACAGATCCTCCCCATGACCATCTCTTCTGCCGCGTTTCCAAACGCTGACTCCGCTCCAAGGTGCGATGCAGAACTGCTTCATAACGCTCCTACCAAACAACATCCCCATGAAGCTTGTAASTGTTAACCACAGCCACACCACAACCCAAAATACAGACCCCCCCCCAATATGATTTATAATCTGTTTTACCAGGCATTTGTTACAAAAATTATCATGCAAAGAATGTTGAAGGCAATTAATGCCTTCAAAACACTGCAAACATGATTAGGTTGAGCTAAAKCACAGATAATCTATTCTACTCTTTACTTAAAATAGCCACCAAACAGATTTCCTATTAAGTAAACAGCACTACTTATTTTCTAAATAGGGATGAACCCCAAACTGAGCAAAAGTAATTGAGTACCCCTGCAACTATTTTTATAATGAAGTTATTTCCAAAAGGTGATGAAAATTCTCCATTATAAAATACCAAGTATAAMGTAATTTGTATTTTCAAAGAACTATAAAAACAACGACCTAGGTCTTAACAGACAATGACATCAAGAGAGATGTGATGAAACCAGAACAGCAAGACATAAAGACTGGCAACTACTGCTGACAGGACAAAGGGGACCAAAAGAAGCTATTGCTGCTGTCTCCAGAACTMGTAACTACTAACAGGGGATCTTTAGCTCTTGTGCATAAAGATGAACTGTAGCCATGCTAGACTCTTTCTTGCCAGCTAGGTTTTCACACRTGTCAACAACAGATCTCTCTTCTGGAATAGTTATATCCCAAGTGATCYTTTGAAGCAGTATTTGCTGCTGAGGCACTGCAGTTAGATGTCAAGGGAACTCATTATACAGCCATTTCTCCCTCTTGAGGACACAAGACTTCCACCTTCTTTCAACACCATTTTACAACAACTACTAAAAAAGTCGCTGTGAAAAACAGACAATGTAAACTTGTAAGGAAGGGAGGGGATTCTGCTCACTGGCAGAAGATAAAACTGAAAGTTTTTGTTTGAAATATAAAGCTTAGCTTCCCCTCTTTTAGAGAAACCTGAACTAAAGTTTACCTAAGGTGTAAAAGTACCCAGACATTATGTAATCTGTAGATTGTATTTCCATGGAGGTATCTGCAGTGCAGTAATTCYTCAGTCAGAGTTAAAGACATAGGCTTCATTTTACAAACTACAGAAATGACTTTGAGTATGTATTTTTGATGCRTTTCTATCTACCGGATTTACAACTGAAGATGGTATCTTGCTAGCAAAATTGCCCTAAGATAGCTTARCTTCTTTAAAAGTGGTTATTTTCTMGTGGCATTGTATCAAAGTCAAGATCTGTTTTCATTTTCTGATTGAAGGCAAGGTTTTACAGGTCAGATCCATACTGTCTCCCCACTTGCCATATTCTTCATGTATAACTCTCTAGGTAGAAGGTAATCTCCAAAAAAACTGTGTAAAAGCAAGGTTAATATCAATCAAACACTCATTGCTAGCCCTTATCTTCCTTGATTTTATTCACCCTGGGGGCCATTTAAAACATACCTACCATCCTCAAAACTACAGGAATAAATGTAATAAATGTAAAGGTAACCCTAAAGCATAAGGGATGCTTTTTGCATAAAGTAGCTGCTTAAAGAGATGACACTGCACTGGATTGCAGTCACAGTCCACCCCAACGTTTGTGTTCTCCAGCAATGTAAACTAAAACAGTGTAGTTTTTTAAAACTATAGCACTTTGATGTGTGTTACCTTTTCCTCCTCTATTTTTTGTTTCCTCTTTTCTTCTACTGCTGCCCTCCGTTGTTCCTCTTTCTGCTTCATTTCTTTTAGCTTTCTCTGCCTTTCTTCTAACTGTTTTTCATACTGGAGTTTTGCTTTTCTCTCCTTTTCAAGGATTTGTGTCTCTTTGGCAGCTGTTAAGAATATTTTAAAGAAAAAATTAAAATCAAACTTAGCCATTAGTTGATATTGCAATACAACTTACAAGCAAGAAACTACTCAAGCACAATTATTACCACTTGAAGTGAAAATGTACAGGAAGATGAGCTTGCAGAGGTGGATGACATCACACATAACAACAGAGTCGTCTTTAATTCTGTCTCCAGGTTGGAGCTGGGATYAGAACCTTGCCTGCCACTGGGCTTTACTCTCTAGACAGGAATGTCAGGATATGTATATTCCCTATGTTAATCTTATCAACGTAACAGTGAAGCCTCTGTAAGGAWGCAGTAAATTAAGAATCAAAAAGCTTTTTTTTTTTAAGAACAAAATATAATGAAAATATTTAAAGCACYGAGTGACAAGATGGGAAGATCCTACAGTTCCTGCATCTGAGTTCAAAATAGTTTTATCACTATTCTCTGCAGCTTCCACCAAGGAACAGCTGTGTGCAGTTCAACAGGAAGCCTCAGGYCCTGTGACACAAAGCTAGTGGGTGAATGCACAGGGTATTTTCCATGGCCAGACAGATGAAATGAACCAAGGGACCAGATAATTACACCAACAATGCACAGGCAGCATCCACACATAGGGCATCCAAAATATTTCTGAATTTTATATGCGTCATAATCCTACCCTGTTCCTGTGTTAGGATGACACAGTAATTCCTGTTGTTGTGGGTTTTTCTTTTAATGTTAAGAAGCAAACACAAAGCTCAGAGAGACATGATCCTCACAAGCTGGGAGCCCAAGACCCAGGACTGCAGGGCACACTGTGACCCTTTCATTTCCTGCTACACACACATGCACTGATTCACATCACAAACAGCATAAAGCTGGGCAAGAGTTTTCTGCTGCTCTCTAGTGTCAGATTCCTAGTTAAGATAAAGTCTATACTGCTGACACTTCAATCCAGGAGTCATTTCAGTGTGCTGGGAAACAAGGGAAGCAGTGTTCAAGGCAAACAAACCATTCAACTAGCTAAATCTTTTTTGGTTTTCTCTGAATCAGCGTTCTCCAAACCTCAGTCTTCAGGGCTATAGGAAGCAGTTCTAAGCTAAAAGCTTTATTTTCCAAAGTGTTTTTGTTAAGGCTTTCAGTAAGGAATTGGCTGAMTTTATTTGGAAGTAACTAAGAAATGGAAGGTCAGAAGTGACATAGAGCTTCAAGAAACTAAAACTATACAGTGTTTTCCTCTCAAATTAAAACTTCTTCTTTCAGATTCACTGATGGACACTGACGCAAGACCAAGAGCAGACCTTGCCTCTTGTCCCCAGGGACAGCAATGCCTTTATCACAAACATTTTAGAAAACTGTATTTTAAGTGAAATATGAAAATACCGTGTTGCTTTTCCCGCTCTTCTCTACGCTCCCTGGCCAGTCTCTGCCTTTCTTCTGTTCTTAGCATGGAACCATCTATCACTGTCAAAAYAAAAATTGAAGACACAAAATTGTCAGTGATTTTGAGCATTCAAATTTAAATAAAAAGTCAAAAGCCTTTAGTATTAAAATAAGAATGAAACTTCCTGAGAGATGCACACACCACCAAATCACTGCACACTCTATATAGGGATTAAAGATGTCACCTGAAAAAKTCAACATCTTCCTTTTCCCCTTTCCTTTCCCTCACAACACTATTTTTAATTAGGTGCAAGAGAATGCAGACACCATATTAAAGGCTCAATAGGTGTAGTCAAAAGAAAGCCTAAGAAGTCAGACATGTGAGAGCATACCCTATTCCAAATTCAGCTCTGATCCTCTTGTACATATTAACTTGTACATATTAACTCCCATGAACAAGAATGACAGGAATTTAGGAAAATGTCATCTGGGAACAGATAGTTCACCTGTCATGACAAATTCAAAGCAGTGTAGGACAGCTCATTTGCAGACTAAGCAAAACCAAGACTTAAACAGCCTCTGCAGGTATAAAAACTTGAATTTCAGCAAGAAGTGAGCTGGTAATTTGCCCAGAGCACAAAACAATCATTTATCTTTCCTGTCATRCCCTGCTTACAAGACAGGCAACTTCAACTGAACTCTGAGCCAGCCAAAACCAGAAACCTACAAACCATCTACCAGGTGCTCTAATGGCTTCTGAAGAAAGAGCACCAAACTTTTTTTAAAAWACATTCTGTTCAATCCCCATTAACTCTCCCTAATGAACCCAGCACTTCGTTAAAAGCAATGACCTATAATTATACCTGGTTTAGTTGCTGTCTTTATTGAGGTCTGGACTGCAAGAGGGCTAATGCCACTTTGGCTTCTTCTTTCTTCTGCTATGGCTTGGGCTGCAGCAACTGTGAGAAAAAATCATTCCACATTAAGAAAAGCCCTACAATTGAAATAAATACATAAAATTCTTTTTGAGGTCGTTGATGCTTTTATTAAATAACTAACTGGGGGCTGCTCAGCTTGTAAGGAAAAACTTGTCAAATGAGACTTGAGACCTGGCATAACTTTTTGTTGCAAAAACAACAGTTACCGAACTTTATTTTTAAGACCATATAGAGTTTCAAAGATCAAACTTATTTAATAACTCTCCTAAGACAAACCCCATTATTTTGCAAAGTTATTTGTCTGACTGACACTTAATAATAAAAACTCTTTGCACATTTGTGGGCTGAATACACATATGTAATAATCCATTAGCACTGGTAGAACTCTGATGAGACCCAAGCAGGGAGTGGTTTATGAAGACCTGTCATTACTTCATGACATGAAACAAGGGTTTAGCTGCATAAAGTAAACCTGCATTAAGGGATGCTTACAACATACTTCTGAAACTGGATCTTCAAAAACAGATTTAAATTATAAATTAAACTCCAAAACAGTACTTTGAGCATTGGTGCAAGACCCATTCACCTTATCTGAGTTTCACCAAGGTGAGTTCAGCAAAATGCAAGGCTCCGACTCACATGTAATCCCAACGAAAGGAAATGCTACCAATATTAATTTCGCTAAATAACAAAACCCATTAACAAGTCAGGGAGACCAATTTACTGTATCACTTTCCACAGATTTTCTTTGTTTTGGTATCAACTGTCACTAATCACCTTGCAGGGTGTGAAGGTGAGGCATTTCAGGGAAAGCAGGCAGGGCAACCTGTAAGACAGCATTACCCCAGTGCCCTGCACAGCTCAACACGAGTGTCCTCACACACTGCCACCTTCTTCTCACCTTGRCTGACAACACTGGGAGCTCAGGTGGGTTCCTTGGAAAAGCCCAACTTCAGGGCAAGCAAGGGAACACATCACACAACCACCCAAACATGAGAAAGTTGAGGGCAGTTTTACACAGGAAAGGCAAAATCACAAAAGGAACACATAACGTGCTACGAGCTCAACCAGAACRTGAAGGACCAATAGTACAATTTGCTGTTGTATTTTAAAAAAGAGGACTACAACTTTGCCAGTGATCTGACTTCCCTTTAATAAGAGTAGTGCAAAATGCAAAAGAGGAAGGAAGAGTCTCCCTCKGCTCCATGCATTGCCATGACAACTAGTTGTGTCATGGTAATAACCCTCCCTAAGGCTGTGCCCAAGAACAATCACCTCAAAGTGTTTAATCCCATGTGATGTCAGTGATAAATGCTGATTACAATACTTATTCAGCAACTCTAAATTGTCACCCGCAGCTGTTGCCACGTCTTGAATTTATTTTTCATTGCAACAGCAAACAAAAGTCTTCCTCAATCCCATCCTATACATCTCAGGCTCTTTTCAAACAAGCCAGAGACCAGATATACCACGACATGATGAGATTACCAACTGGCAAAGAAAACAGCATAAAAAGGGTTCACTGTAATTTTACCATCTAGATCAAAAGTCTGACAAAAATCTGATTTTTGTACACTGCTGCATGTCACATGGATGGGAATGCAGCCCAAAAAAACATCAAGTGGAGAACAACAGAATTATCTATTCTAACACRAGTAGAAGTGAAAATAGACAGAGGAAAAGCAGCCCACTGCAGGTGTTCTAAGAGCAGAAATGTACAGCCAGGGCATTCATACCCAATGACACCTTCATACACTACAAAGGGTGAAGGAACATAAGCTTCTTCAAATACAAATGARAACAGAAATCCAGGTATATCTTTCCACAAGGAAGGAGACAGAGGTGCCCAGGCACCCTAAGCCAACTCAACTCAGCTGGGAAATTATCCTGACAGAACAAATTCACTCTGCACCTACACCAGCTTCAGTTAAGACCGACACTGGAATTTTCCCTCAACTCTCAAAGTTTAAATATCCAAATTTCCATAACAAAGTTATCGTAAGAAGCAAGCTGCAATCAAACAGGTACAATATTAATTTAATTTTACTTGCAGAAATATTTTAATATTAGAAATCTTGCTGAACAAACCAGTCATAAGTGATGAGGGGAACTATGTCCTTATTAATTAAAAAATAAACACACAGCTGGAATAATGTTAATGATTAGAAAGCACTAATTTAAAAATGTGTCACATTGGCAAGGCAATTAGTCAGTTCATCTTAATTAATTAAGGTTGCAAAAGATTACTTGAGGTTCTATGGAACAGGAAAGTGGGTTACAGAAACGGTTCACCTTGCAGAGGACACAGAGGTGAAAAAAGTCTTGAAATAGCCTGCCAGAGGACTTTGCACATCAAGGTTTTTTGTATGTCAGAAAACATATTTTATGTTCACTCCTTCAATGCTTCATTATTTGCATAGAAACAATGTGCTTACAAATTCGAAAGTAGCAGATTTAAGGCACAAGGGGTGCGACTTTGTGTCACATGGATTTGATCCATTTAACCAACAGAAAGCCAGAACTCAATGTGAACTGGGGATCAGAACAAAAGATTAATGAAAGGGGAACAGACATCACATTAGATATATTCCTGAGATATGTGAGCTCAATTTCACCAAGCCCCTAGTCAACAGACAGGTTTTATAGCCCTTGACATTTTTCTGGTAAACTTACAATACAAAACTGTGATTTCCAAAGTCCACATTTTACTACAGTAAGAGAAAAGGAATTGCATATTGTTGCACTATGCAATCTTCAAAAAATACATCTCTTATTTTGCTTTAATATGATAAATGAAACCTTAGTAATTAATAAATTTGGCTCAGATAGCTATAATTTCTTTGTCTAGTCCTCTATAATGAATGTAGCAGTCTGCTATTGAGTGAAGCTTCGAKGAAAAGAATTTTCCACAAAATCTATCTCTGTAAAATAAGCCTAATAATCTGTAATGAATCCGGATACCCCAGAACAGGAAACCAGTCAGCAACCATTTCACTMGAACCTGTGTCAAATGTTGCATTATGAGAGAGTGCCTTCATGAACATATTCAGCAAACTCCCTGGAGAAGAAAAAAATCTCTTAGAGTCAAATTAAATCTCATTTCTATTCTGAGCTTGCCCTCCCACAGTAGTCTTTCACAACAATACTTTATGATCAGCATAATGTGTATGTTTACTTAACAGTAGTCTACCTTTAAATGCTCTGGGTAAAATTAATAAAAGTATAAGCCATGCATGAAGCCAATAATAATAATAACAATAATAATATCTGCATTCATGCAAAATAAAACAGAGCTATTTGGAACATAAAATGATTAGGTAATTTGGGAAGCAGTTTTCCTTTTGCGCCCTCATCACCATTTAGCACCACAGTTCTGGCCAAACTAATCAAAGATAAACCAAACCCACAGAAGCACCAGGAGGTGACATTCCAGATAAACCCAACTCTCCCAGTTTCACCTCCAGCTCAYGATCCCCTGCCAGTGCAGGTGCTGAGGTGCCTCCCTCACACTGAGCATGACGGTACATCCCTTCCCTGATCAGGTTTCCAATATGCCCTGAAGAGACCGGTGCTAAAAATAAAYCTTGATTTCTATTTCAACCCCTGCACGCAGCTAATACCCTTGGCTCCTGCCAAGACTGGCAAAGGACTTGCTGCTGTTCTTAGTAAACCTCATTAGGGGCTGAAGCTGCTCCTTCCCTTTACCCAGCGAGGCTCAGGGTCTCCATCCCATCACCTTTCCTGGTGACTGTGACCCAACTGGACACTGCCACACTCGCTCTTCCCTTCCCTTGTGGAACTACAAAGGCCAGCACAATGTGATGACTTTCACAGCAATCCTTCTGCTTCTTACGATTTGGTGACTTGTTATGCAAAGCAAAAAAACAAAAAAAATCCCAGACTAAGCCTCTGAAACAAGGGGTGTTAAGAGGTCTCCTGAATTGTTATGGATCTACGTGTTTCCATGAAAGTTTGAAGTACATAACAAGAAGCCAATAAGCAATCAATAAACCTAAAGTGATTTTTCCAACAAAACATTTCTGATTTTATGTCAAACTGTGCCAAATCGGTAAGACACCATTTTTGTCTTGCTCCACTACAGGGAACTACTGTTCATCAATAAGTTTCAGATCTTTTTAATAATTTTTGTACATACTTTCAGGAAAGATGAGGAAAGACAGCATTCAAGTTTGAAATTTCTATGCACTGGCTTTTAAGCTGATTTCCACTCATTAATTAACACAGGTTAAGACAAATGGATTGCAAGATCATATGTTTGATGCTTTAAGAAAAATTACRTAATGATTTTTATACCATGACTCCTTGCTCAGATGACACCAGAGGAAGGACGCACCTTCACACAAACRGGTGGACAACACAGAAAGTTTCTAYTGATGAAAARAARGCCCTCTCTCTGTGCATTCCTCTTTTCCCTGTTTTCCCCTTTTCTGTCCCTCCCCGTTGATCCTCACATCCCATCTTTGGGCTCCACAATCCAACACGTGAGCTTSCCGGTAGGCACCTTCTGACGGACCAGCTGGAAGGCAGATGGTTCTCCTGTTTTGTCTGGGCAGTCACCAGATGGGAAGCACACAGATCTCCAGAAAGGAGTGCACACTGTCTCTCAGCTTCAGCAGGCCAGAAGAGCTTCCTGTTGTCTTATCCCTATCCCAGACTCTCTTTGAAAAYTTTGTCCTATATTTATTCTCTCCATGGGATACCTGTTTTACTACCTTTATGTGCTTTATTCCCTTAAGACCATATCTGCAGCTATCTCTGTACAACAATTTTGCTCTCAAAGTTCAAGGCAGTTTCAAGGGTGATTTCTTCAGTTCATCACAAGCTTTGATCCCAACAGAAAACTCGATACAAGCATTCCTTTGCAGTATATGAATTACCAGAACCACAAGTAAGTATCTGAGACACACTTGCAAGAAATTTTTGCTTCTCTTTAAATATCCACATTCAGATTAAGGGCTAGAAATATTATTTTAAAAAGACCACATAATTAACAAAATTAC